CGGACCCGCGGCTTGTTTTTCTTTTGCTGTTCTTCGAAGGATTATTTTGTCTATGGAACAGACTTTTGCTGCATAGGAGGATTAAACAGATACAGGGTATGTGCTGCCCACTGTATGCAAGAATATAAAATAACTAATTATTTATACTTGTGTATGTATATGTGTCAAGCAGTATGTAACGTAACTCTTCCAGGAATCCTAGTATCGAATTGTGATACCAACTTCACTGGTCAGTGCTATAGGAGGTGCCCCAGCCAAGCACAAAGGTGGGACACTGTTCCCTTTAAAGGCATTGCCTCTAGCGTGTTCTTTGATCATCTTTAGTATTTAGAAAATAGAAGGGGGGAATGGGCAAATGCATGTCCTTTTTCTGTGTTCTTTCTAGAGAAAATGGTGTACTGCCAGTAGTTTGCAGTACATGATCATCTGAAACTGTTACTGCGATCTTTTTCTAGATACGTGCTTTTACTTAGTACAGTGTCCATTAATAATATATAGGCATGCTTTTTAAGATGCTTGGTATCCAGCCTGCAAGTAACAGCCTGCAGTGATAAACCATGAGACAACGAAAGGTCCTAGAGCTGTGTGATCTTACTGTGAAAGATAGGAGAAACATCATCTCTTTGCTTCTACATAATTTACATTGTTTGCAGTTAGGAGTGCTGAATGTCTGCTCTCTCGGGTGCAGCCTTACATACATGGATAAACAAACAGTGCAGTTACTTCAATCCAGTAAAGCAAGGTGCACTTGTTATGATGATCCTACCACTGGTTTGTTCCCTTGCTTTCTGCCTTTGAGTGAGGCAAACACACACTGCTAGTGATATTCTCACCCTGAGCTATCAGGCAGCCTGATTTAAAAAACAAAAAAATTTTTAAAAACTCAGAACTATAATACTTGTTTTGAACAGCTTGTGTTTGGATTCCAGAGATGCTGGAGCAGTGGAATGTAAAAAATATTATTTTTATCTATCAGGATGATCTTTTAGATTTGTTCATCTTTATGCTTACAGAGGAAAGAAGGAAGACTCGTTTCTCAACTCAGCATAAAAAATCTGAGGACTTCTGTCCCTTTTCTAGTATGTTCGTAGTTGCTTGTAATAATTCTTTTGACCAGCGATTCTGAGGAGTGCCTCAATGACTATGTAGCTACTACGTGTAATCAATTAGTTATATATTTCAGAAAACAGAGAGTACCATGAATTTGCTGTGGTTGCACATGTGACGAGAGCAAAAAGGTATTTCAGACTCAGTGTTTTAGATGATGATTTCTGGTGTAGTCAGAAGAGCAAGTTGCAAAGCCATGTGGTTCATTCATCATCTGCTATAGATATTATATGTGGTTACTTAACATAGCTGGTTATGATTGCTTTGTCTTCATTAACTAATTGTGAGAAAGGAAAAGAATCCAGCAAATGCTTTCCAAAATGTGAAATAATTATAGCACAATTGTGACCTACTTGGCGTCTTAGCACAGCCAAATAGGAGATGAATTGGGCTGCATGGATATTGTTCCAAAGAATCTAAGACCTGTTTTTCAAAGATGCCTTGTTCCTTTGGCTCCTTCAATGTGGAGCACCTGGTTTTATACCTACATTCTCATTTTTAAATGTATCTTGCCCCTACTGAAGGTGACGTTCTTAATGAGGGGTGGGTGGGGTGATAAAACTCCATTATATGGAATGGGGAGAAAAAACAGTTATTTCAAGTGTTTTTGACATATAAAATATTTTTCCTTCTGGTAGAAGTGACATTTGGTTGGGAATGCTATTCACACTTGCTAAGGGACAAAAAACAGGTGTAGTTCTGAGATTAAGTCTTTGAGATCACAGTATTGTGTACTTCTGGAGGCAAGAGTGTCTTCTGTTGCTTCCTATTGCATGGGACTATTTTTCTAGTCCAAATACATAATGCCAGCTTATATCAACTTTTTATATCCTGTGAAATAGTGTAGGTAGTTAAAAAAAAGAAGAAATAACCTTTGCTGTTGTTAAACTACTAGCGAAATGCACTTCCATCGTGTACTGTCACAGGCAGTGGGTAGATGGCACAGAGAAAACATGGATGCAATCAGGAATATTTCTCATTCCTGTGCTAGCATAGAACATGAGAACTGACATTTTGTGAATCACTTCTCTTGGCAAACATGAGAAGCATTATGTTTAAATTTTAAATTTAAGCATTATGTTTTATTTTTAAATTTAAGCATTTAGTTTTAACAAGAGACAATAGGAAAAAAAAAGTTTGCATTAGCAAAAAGCTTTCTAGAAATTGGTTTTCTCCGTCTGGATAAAAATTGGAGGTAGCTACACACTCTGCGATCTTGATGTGTGTTAGCCAGGCAGGACAGGAGAGGCTTAGTACTGTTGTGAAAGATAAAGCCTGTATAGATACCCTCAGTAGACATACTGCTCAGTAAAGTTAGAAAATCATTCTAGTGATATTTTACTAAAGTCATGATGGCTTAAGGAGAAAGGCAGGAAGAAGTTCAGAAGTTCAGTGGGCTTTGTGGTTATTGAAATTCATACTTTTCCTCTGACCTGTAAGAATGTTTTTCAGGCACTTGGTGGTATTTACTTTTGGGTTTGAGTTCTAGGCACGTGAGAAAAGTCAGTCTTCTGAGTGTGAAGATGGAAGATGTCCTTTGTCAGGTTAAACCAAAATCTGCCATTGTGCAGACGCGTTACAAGGTTAGGTAACTCTGATAATTTCTTGAAGTGTACTAGCTGTCCACTTTAGATGAGATTTTGTTGTCATTCGAAAGGTATACCTGCATGTTGTCATTGACACCATGGATGATTAGACACGGAATTAAAAATTCCGGGAAATAAAAATTCTAATTGTTGTATCTCTGTGATCTGTGGTCTGTCCCTCCTCGCCCTCTCCTCCCCAGCCCCAGCTGTGACACTGAATCGCCACATTTGTATGGTCAGTGTTTGGTAAAAATTGAGACAAATTCAATTATTTATGAAGCTGAAAGCTGCTGGTTTCTGGGAAAGAAACCATACAGCATGTGTTGAAAAAAGAACCCACCAAACAAACCAAAAAACTTATTTGAAAAATTGATTGAGGCTAATGCAGGTTTTATAGCACATCTTTAAGCTGCTACAGATGTGATTTCTGGTAAACTGTGAACAGTTTTTATTTATTATCTGAATCTTTTGATTGAAGAAAGTATTTCAGAGTGTCTCCATCTGAATCACTGCCAGGATAAAGGTTACAGTGAGTTGGTTAGTTGGAAGTTCCAAATAGTGAAAAATATTCAAGGTACAGCTAAATGTGTTTTTCAATTAGAGTGTATTCTGCACAAGCTCTGAGCCATCTGGACATGAGTAGCTATGAGCTGAGCCTGTGTGGCCACCATTAATGAAAGGGTAAAGCTGCAATGAGTGGTTTGGCTCAGGGGCAAAGTATGTTTGCCTTATACCAGTACCACGTACCAGCTATGTAACTTCTGGTTTAGGCAGACATGTCATCTAAGGTACGAGCTGAGAGTAGGCAGAAAAGATTGTGTAAGATGTGTTTGTGGATTTGTGACTCTTCAGCTTTTTTGCTGAGCCGTTGTATTGTGGGTTGCTAAGAAAACTGCTCTAAAGTGGTGGTGTTCCACACCCCCACCCCCCTTCTGACTTGGTGGAGTTCATATTTGTAGTCTGGTGGGTGAAAGCATGGATTGGTCCCATGTGTTTATGCACTGAGACTATAGCCTCTTGATGTCTTTGAATTTTGTGTAGTGTGTCTGTTGCTGAGTAGATAGAGACCTTTCATCCATATCCCTATAAACTTTACTATGTTCTCATTTCAATACAAAATTTAAACATATGCCTGAGGTTGCAGTTTTCATGAATGGCCTAAGTCAGTCTAATTCTACACTGCATTTTCAGCTCCTCTCTTGTAGTGGTTATTAGCGAGCACAGGGTTGCGCAGTGAGACAGGGCAGCAATCTCACTTGAAAGAAAGAAATCTCACCAAAAAACCTCAGACTGATTTAATTTACTATGTGGCCATATGGCTGCCAGCATAAGCAGAAAAGCATTTAAGGACAAGTTGAAGTACACTGAACTGGTGTCTTTAGTTTGGGGGTTTGTCTTCTCTTTTATTTCTGACAGCGCTCATTGGAGTTGTGTGTAAAGGGTAACTGTTTTTGCGTTGGCTTCCTATGCTCCACGTAGGCTTTCTGTGGCTAGGAATAACACAAGTTTATTTTTCTTCCCACTTCTATAATGTCTACAAGAAACATTTATTTGACTGTTACCTTGGTCTTGCGTGTGTAACACTGCTGAAGTCAGTGGGGCTTCATCCTGGCACCTTGGTCTGCCAGTTTGCAGGCTCAGTTTGCCACAAAAGATGGGCTGTGTTTTGACTTCCATGACAAAACGCATGCTTGTCTTCCTTCTGGAACTTAATGCTGTTAGATTTTTATACCTATAAGGAATCTGACATTTTCCTTTCTTTTCAATGTGGGGCTGTTTTAGTAATTAAGTAATTGCTGGTTAAAAGTCTGTGGTGTATCATATAAATATCTTCTGATCTGATTAGTCTTAAATACATTGTGGATTACAGAAAAGTTCAGATAATAGTAGTGATGTACACTGACTTTGTTTCTTTTCTTTTTCTTTGCCCCTTCCCTTTACATGAATGGTGTATTCATACTTCTCATCGTCGTTGCTGCTTTTTGTTTTGCCAATCATCTAGAAAACCACCCAAGGTAAGTGTTTTGTCTCTTTTTGCATTTGTACCTGCTTGAAAATGTTGACCAATGCAGAAGTGTTGGACATGTTGCTGTAGCATGTGATCAATACAGCTTTGATAAAGGAAAATACATTTTTTAAAAAATCTATTCCTCACACTGCTAAGTTAAAGACTTCATAATTCCAGAAGAATAAATTATAATCCAACTGACATGCAGACATATAATTTGTTAAAGCTGTGACCAGGACAAGCCGTGATTTTAATGCATACATAAAAACATTTGAAAGAGTAAATAGGTATTGTGTGTAAAACATTTCATTGCATATAATTGTGCTTAAAAGTTAAAATACTATTTTTAAAATGTGGCAAAACACATCTAGTAAGAAACGAACTGTTCTTGTTTGTAATTGATGATATTTAGGAATTAATAATTTGTGTAAAAGTGGCCAAAGTGTACTGGAATTCGCCTAGAAAAGATTCTCTATGCTGTTTGTAATGCAGAGGAAGGGAGTGAGGATGAGTGTTACGTACCTGTTGGGATAGAGAAGGAGCCTTACTGGGATGACAAATACAGTAGCAGTTTAGGACTGGTAGCAATGATAAGGTAAAAGGACTGTGTGAACCACGTCTTGTCAGCAAATGCAAAACACTGTATTGGTATTTTGTTTCAGCATTCTAATGATAATTTTATCCTTTTTGTTTCCATTGGAGGGTACTTTCTACAGCAGAAAGCTGTAGCTAGCTCTGAATGTGGTTTTATTTTATGTTATTCTGATTTGTAGATCTTCAAGAAACAGTGTATGTAAATCTGATATGACTTCTACAGGTGTAGCAGAGCATTCTATAGGCCTTCTGGGAGTAGAAATTGTGATGGATATTGATCCATATATCTGTCTTACATAGATATCTGTGGACTTTATGGTCCAGACAGCTATTTTATATGTGCGTGTGCATATTTAAATGTTTTATCTATATATGTATTGTTTTGATTAATTTTTTTAAGTATCAGAAGAAAACTTTTCAGTAAGTCACATGTATTATTCCCAATAGGCAGGGAAGAATAGAACAAACTCTATTTTAACACAAATTGAAGTAATCATGTTTGAAAAAAAAACAGACCAAAATATGTAGTTTAAGGTCACAGTAGGTGAAAATGAGTAGCACTGATATTACAGTTTAAAGTGATAGGCTGTACTGATTCCCCCCCCCCCCGAATGATTGAATTTCTTAAAATCATGGACCTAGTTTTTAATTTCTCAATTTTTTTGAAAGCATTTGATAAAGTTCTTCTGTCAATCCCAGTTAATATATCTAATACAAAAGAGTTTGTTCATGGTTAACAATTTTTAAAAAAGCAGCAAAACTTCCTTTCTGTTGTTGTAATTTCACAAAAACTTTTTTACAAGAGCCTTCATTTGCTGTAGTACATAATTCATGTTCCATTATAGGCAGATAAAGTTATTCTTGACACTATATAAAAGCTTAATTATGGCCTTGCATTTCTTTGACAAAAACCTAACAGCTGCATGCTTGTGCATATATGCCACGTTATTGTTAGGTATAGTTAGATGGTCATTAATATCCTTCAGCTATAATGCTGAAACTTAATGGTGTTGTGCAAAGTGTTTATCAATTTGAGACAGAAGAAGGTTCTTATTGTCAGTGGAAATAGGCCTTGAGTCTGTAAAGATGTAACATGAAATTTGATGTGTCTTGGTTTATACAGTTTTTAGTGTACTGTGTATAGTTGATTGTCTTCAAATTAGGATTTTTTTTAAAATGAAATTTCATAAATATTCTTCCAGCCATGGATGAATTGTGATCCTAGTTCAACTCCGTAGCTCAGAAGCTGTGGTAGGAAAACTTATTTAAGGATATTAGGGTGTTTTGCTATTTCTTTAAACATCATGTTTAAGTGCATTACTAATCTTGGGCTTTTAATGTAATTTTGTGACAAAGGTAGAACAGTTGTTCACAAATCTCATCTCAGAACTGTGCCCTAGGCCACCTTTGGATTTTCTGTCCATACTTCTTTAGGCCTGTGGTAGGTCTTGTGTTTTTCGTACAGTGACTGACTTCTTTCTTTTTTAATTCTTCAGTGGCTTCCATTTACACTAAGCTTGCCAGTGTAGACTGTTTGCTGTTTCCTAATGTATCTCCTTTATCACTTACCTTCATCAGCAGTTGTAATAGGGATGTAGGAACAGCTGCCTGGTGAATGAACATTTCCCTTCCTCAGTTCTCCCTTGCTTTTCTTTTTAGTGACCAGGTAGCCCTGTAAGTCACCCTATATGTCAGACTGACTGCTTCATGGAGATTCATGTGAGCGATGTCTGCACCTGTCCAGCATAACTTTTTTCTCTGAAAACAAAACATGATTAATTGGCTATCTATCGGTCAGATGGGAATGGCTATTAAACATGTTAGCTGTGCGTTTACAATATTGTATAGATGCATAGACAGTATATGTTAGGGGTTATGATCAGTCTGGGTAATGTACTGTTAAGTGCTGGAAGCCCCAGACTGTAGTCTATGCTGAGGATTAGGCTTCAAAACAACAGATAATGAATGTGAAATTAGACTCTTTTCTAAACTAATTATGCCATTTGGCAAGCAGTTAATATTGGATATGGTAGTCATTACCTGCAAGTCGTTCACGTAAGTGTACTTGCATGTGTAAACCCTGAACATTATTAATTCTTCAAGCCAACGATTAGGGGCTTTAATAAAAATGAGTTCTACAGAATACTGTTTTGGCTATTTAAAGTGTGAATACCCCTTGGCTGTCTTTTCTGATTCTGTGAGAAGTTACTACTGTGTAGCAGTCGGGTACAATGGCTCTTCTAGTTTAAAATCTGCAATCTTGTTTTAAGCCACAGGTACAGGTGAATTTGAGACAAAACTCCCAGATTTTTCACTGACGTGGTGGGATTGTAGACCTGCGTCACTGTTTGCTTTGCTGTGGAAGGCATAACCTCTAGCTGCCTCGTTAGCAAAATAGTAACCAACAGCTGCCTTAAACTGCTGTAGGTGTTTGAAAAAATCCGAATCAAAGCCCCGTATCTTTTCTTTACTCAAACTTCATGGTTACCAGAACAAGTCTTTTGTTTAACTTTTAATAGTTACTAACACTCTGAGTACCATGCTCTGTAACCTAGAAATGGCCTACGTAACTCTGTTACCCAGGGTAATGTGCACGCTTATGGTGACTCTGGATACAGTAGTACCACAATCTAGCACTTCCTGGCTAATTCTTTCTCATTTTGATGCGTTTCTGCTGTAATGTTTGTGAGTTAAAATTCTTATAATGAATATACAATGAGTATGTACTCAAGCTCATACACATTTGTGCTCTGGACTTCCAGTTGTGCAAGATCTGTCGTGGTGAGTTGTGTTCCATTACTTGTAGTTCTGTCTCTTACTCGACTATTTCTAGATGTCTAAAATGTGATGTCCAAAATTTTTCCAGCTGTCATACCACTCAGACTGAAAATATTGTGCAATGTCAAACACTGAAATAATAGGGCTGGGAAAAACCTGCCCTGTTGGTCTCTTAGCTCCACTCAAAATTTTTGGTTTAGAAGCTAGTGTGGCATGTTCTTGGCAGCTTCCTTTTATCTAGCTTTCTCTTTTAAATGTCAGGCTGAAGTATGAGGTACAGAATCTTGCAAAAATAAGAAAATTTCAAGGCTTGTTTGTTAGTTCCCTCTGTAATTTAAGAGCCCGGAATAATTTTGGGTCCGGTTGTGAGAACTGGCCAACACCTGTGTGAACTTACATCTGCTTGTGGTTGAATGCCAACCTGTGCAGACACTTGAAGCAGATGTATACCTGTCTTTTGTGGTTTTCCCATTTTGCTTACCTTCTGAAAATACCTTAAGCTTCCTGGTATAGTGGCTATGGAATTGACTTCAGAGCAGTAGGAAAGCAGAAATACTCATCCATATAGTCACAGAGAGTTGCTCAAAATGCTTAGAAGAATAACTGAAAGTTCAGGAAATCAATAGAGGAGATACAGGTAACAATTTTCAACTTTGAGTTTCAAACAAAAAATATTTGCTTTTTTCTTCTAATGTTAAAACACCTAAATGGAATAGATTTTTCCATAATGTAGTTAAAAATGAATTCACAGAGGGTACTTGAAGTTTAAAAAGTTCTGTTTGTGTGTCACAGATCTCTCCATTCAAATATGTTTCAATAGTAGTTTTGATATAGTTGAGTGATACAGTTTTGATATTAGTTGGTAAAGTTTTTTGCTTGCTTCAGAAAGCTAAAAAGGCATTTTCAGTGCCCAGTAATGCCCAGTTTGAGTATTGGCCATTGAGTCTAAGACTTCCTCATTAACAGAACTTCTGATAGCTTTGATAGTCATATTGACAGGGGGTTTAATACCTTCTTCAGGGAAATGCATCTTGGGGAGAAAAAATTAATAAGAAAAAAATTATTATTCTGCATACTTGTATCAAAAGAAAAATTAATACCCCCCCCTGTTTTGTTTTCCAGGAAGAATAATCAGTGAAGATGGGAGAAGGAAGGGAGCACCTTAGATGAGACTTAGAGGGTTTTTTCTTCTTCACAGTGTAGGTTCTGTATTTTGACCCCAAGTACACTTCTGTGCTCTACTTGGGACTACATGTCCTGCAGTTCCTGCACTAGAGGTCAGGAAAATATAAACTAGTAAGTCATCTTTATACAGAAAAGATGATCAAAATGGTCACTCTTCAGGTAGGACACTGTCCTACAGGCATTTCCCATAAAATGGCTTCATTATGTACCTGAGGAAGAGCCTCAATGATTGGGACCAAGTTTCTTGCTCTTGTATGCCTTATTTCTTACTCTGTTAATTCTTGCATTTGGAATCTATTTTCCCAAAGGTCTGAGTTGTCCTGAAAATCGCTTTGATTGTGTGCTTCCTTAAATTATTGTTGCTGGGAATGCTCAAGATTACTGTTTTGTCATCATTGATCAAAGTAATTTTTAAAGTTTTGCCTGCCTGTTTTAATGGAGAAGGGAGTTTTACTGCAGCTGCTCTACATGTTTTGCAGATAGTGCATGCCCCAGCAGCTTCTACTTTTTCTTGCCTGACTTTTTTTTTTAAAGTAGTCTCGCTACTCCTGTTAGAAGGATTTGGCAAATTTCCAGAACAGATTTTATAAATAGCTTAAGTCCATGTCCTGGCTTTGTATGTTTAGTATGAAAACATACTAAAATGCTGTATTTATGGTTGTTTTTTTTTAATCTTGAGATAGAATTTTTCTCTTCCTATTGCATAATTATTTCGGAGCTTTTAAAAATGAATTTGACCAATTTTTACCTTTAAAAAAAACTCTAAATAAAAACTGCTTTTCTGTGAGAAACACTTGGCTGTGAGTACATATTTTAAAGTCTCTTTGCAAGATCAGTATTTAAATTATGAGTCACTGAATAATCCTGTCATGATTTTCCATGTTAACCAAGGGGAAAATGTGTAGGACAATAGATTAAACTGGCCTACAGTATTGTTGTATTGACATTTAAGTCATTACAGATGAGCATGTGTAGCTGGGTAACCTTTCTGAACTGGGCTGTGTGATCCACTGCAGAAAATACTTAGTTTCAAGGGGAAAGAATGGGCATCTGTTAGATTTGGATCCTTACAATTGGGTTTTCTTTTGTAGTTGGAATGCTTGCCATTTGATCGTAGAGAGATTAGGTATTGTTACCAAGTCCCGCGAGGAAAATTTCCTTAGAAGTGGAATGTGAGAAGAAAAAACACTATTTCTTGGGCTGTAGAAGTTAGGAAAAGCGTTAGAGTGTTCTTACTGATGATGGAGAGTTCATTATGCTTGGATTTGAAGCACAATGAACAAATGCACAAAAGTGATATAAAATATCTCCTACTTAAGGTGGAGGTCTGAAGTTAAGGTGATGCGACTGCCACATTTTGCCTGCAGTTCGGTGGCAAAACAACGTCTTTGACTCAGTCACATCAGGGAATGTCCTGACTCATGAAGTTGTCTCTTTCTGTTTGTGCTGCAGTGACTCGGACCTCCCTGTTAGATTATTATTATGGAGGTTTGTTTGTTTTCCCTTCAGAAGGGAATTCCAGAACTGTTTCACTCTTGTGGACTAAGTGTTGTCTCAGTATTGAGCCTTCTCTTAGGCCATTTGATGAGTTTTGCATTAAGTTGGAGGAAAGGGAAGGTGATGAGGTTGCTGCACTACCGGGTTTTATCTTTCTGAAATATTTGCAGTAACAGACATTTTCGGAAGAGTTAGGCTACAATATATCTGTAGATTAGATTGCATAGTAATTCTGCAATAGCAGGGAATTCAAGGTGTTCTACATCCCCAAAAGCCAAAAGGAAATGATGTATCTTCTTCCTCACTTCAGGGTTTGTCTCACAGGGAATTTGACGTTTCTTCTAGTAGAGCCTGTAGCTCTTGCTCTATATTGACCTGCATGATTTGTCTCACTAAGGAGATCAGCTGTTGGAAGACCAGGCAAAGAAAATCTTGGCCCAGGCAAAGTTTGAATAAAGAAGGTTGTTTGGTTTTTTCCCCCATCTCTTGGGATACCAAAAGGAAAAAAAAAAAAAATCTGTATCATTAACTCATCCACTGTCAGTTTACCATGGTAAAATGTGGGAAATACGCTGCATCTTAAGGTGTGTTTGTGGCAATATAAAGCTGTCAAAACAACAGTGTTAAATGGCTATACCGTGATGTTCTCAGCTGTGCGGAAAAAATAACTTGGATCAAATCCCAACATGTTAAGTGGTTTTACAGGACACTGTTCCAGGTCCACAAGCCCACTGAGCACAATATTGTATCTCATTCAATTTCTACCCAGCTGGAATTCTTGACTGAAATGATATTAAGTCTTTTCGTTAGAGCACGCTCTGATAGCTTGTTTGTCTAATAGAGCTACATTTTCTATTTCTAGTTTTTGAGCTTCCTCTACTGAGATCCAGTACTGTACTCTGAGTTTAGGCAGATAATCTGGTATTATTTATTTGCTCCTTGAGGCCTGTAAGTAGTAATTCTCTTCTATGAGCATTAGAAGTCCAACCCATGGTAAAACTTTTTTGCTTCTTGTATTAATGTCTGCTAAATAGTCATCTTGCCAAGTTCTGTATATTGAGTCCTTTCAGTGCTGTTTCATTACTGTTGGCAGAAACTTTTGTCAGCATTCCTGGAGAGGAGTGGAGCTAATTATTAGGTTTTGGCTGTGTTTTGAAGTCTGTATTAAGGACACAGTAAGCAGTATTTTCTATTGTGTATAATACAGATAGACAAGAAGTACCACAGTTCTGCAACTCTCAAGATTTCCCAAAAGTAGTCCTGCTGATGACGCCTTTTTACAGTTCTGATTTATGATCCATAGAAACGATAGAGCCTAACTGCAATTAAGCAGTTATGGATTTGTACTGCTTTAAGAGTCTTGTAGCCACAGAATCACAGAATGGTAGGGGTTGGAAGGCACCTCTGGAGATCATCTAGTCCAACCCCTCTGCTAAAGCAGGTTCACCTAGAGCAAGTTGCACAGGATTGTGTCCAGGCGGGTTTTGAGTATCTCCAGAAAGAGTTCCTAATTTATATTTTTATGTGCTTCTATAGGTGTTTGCCTTTGATCACTGCTTCTGGTCCATGGATGAATCAAACACCACAAAATATGCAGGTAAACTATTTTCCATACATTTGACAGTAAATAATTTGAGAACATATGAGAGCTTGGGGTTTTGTTTTGTGGAGGTGTTTTGCATTTTGTAATGTGATGCTCAGGTGACTTCTTCACAGAAGCAGATTTCTCATTTTTAAAGGGATTGAGTCATCTGAGTGCTAGCGTCTCAGTTTAAAAGGAATGTAAGCTTTAAGGTGCCTGGTACACTGGGAGGGCACTGGAGCATCAAGAGGGATGCTTTTACATCTAAGCTATAGTGTTTGTTCTTTTAATCCCCTGGAAGAGCCTTTTTTGAGTATTCTTTTTGTCACTTAAAATTAAATCTCAGTTTTGCATCAGAAATTACTTCTGACTAATGCTAGTGATGAACGTGTATGCTTTCAATGGTTTGCATTCCTGTGCACGAGAGAGGAATAAAGCATGTTATCCTCAATGTGGTTATTTCAGGTCTTTCAAGTCATTCATACTCTGATTGTTCAGATCCCTCATGTTTTTCAGTGATTAGTTTAATGACTCCTTCCTTCCAAAAGCTGGATAATCCAGGCGAGATTGTAGTTAGTTTTTTGATAACTGGATTTGTGTATTAGCATATTCATACTTTATAAGAGGACTTGTTTTGATAGAGACGGCTCTGAACGCTGGGATTTCAAGGCTGTGATCCATGGAAAGGAGAAAAAAGTTTTTTCGATTTAAATGTTCATATTATGAAGTTTTGTGGCCCATAAGACATTTTGAAGCTTAATAGGGTTAATTAGCTCAAAGTTTGAGATCAGTGGTCTAATAAATGAACTGTCATATACTTGTGTTAAAATATATCTCCTGACTGCTGTAGCCCCTGGTATCAAATCCCAAATCTTAGGGATTGCACATGATCATAGATTCCACTGTATTTCTTACTTCCCTGAGCAAAGATAGGTTTCTTCAGGAAAAAAGTTCTGCATCTGTTAGTCTTTCAATAACTGTTTGCACTGCACAGTATTCATAGCTTTAGCTGGTTGGGCCATTGGAGCACACAGCACCTCCTTTTGTGCCTGCATCCCTCCGTTTCCTTTGAAAGGAAGGAGGTGATGGTACACACCCAGGTCTTGGCACCATGTGCAAGTAGGAACTGCACCTGCTGGGTGCACCATGGTGCTAACCCGCTTGTAGAGAAGAGATAAACCAGAGAAACACCCCTAACCAGTTAAACTTGTTTCTGTCTTGGGTTAACCCATCTCCAGGTGAATTCAGTGAAGTTCTAGCTCTATTTATTTTTAATTTGAGTTAAAACTTGATTTCTCTAGACTCTTTCAGAAGTTGTCATTGAATTATTCTTATCTAAGAATTGAAGTTTTATTATCTGTATGCAGATGAACCTCTTGTCAGAGTGGACTCTAGAAAGCTGCCACCCACATCTCACGTTTTCTTACTGGCCAGAAAGCTGTAATGTGTTTTTTTGCCCATTCCAGATAGCGTTCCTGCCTGGGGAAAAAACCCAACAAAACCAACCAAACTGTTTTCCTTGGTTTTTTTTTCTTTTTTTTTTTCTCTTAGAAATATGATAAGAATGTGAACTTCAAGACTTGCATATAAAAAACAATGGTTTCACTGATGATTTTTTTTTTTAATAGTCTTGAAGTTAACTTCCAACCCTCATGTTCTAGAATGTAATGAATTGGGCAGAATATCAAAAGTAAAAAAAAAAAACCAAAAAAAAACCTTTCAGGCCCAAGTTACTGGGTTGTTGGCTTGTTCACTTGCTTGTGTATGAGCTGATACTATCTAGTACTAAAGTAGTGTTTCTTGTTTTAAAGCCAACAAACCAAATGCTGAAATGGCAAGATTTCAGATTTTATATATTTTTAGCATTAAGGTGCCCTAAGTCTTTTTCACAGCTTGGCCTAAATGTACTAAACAAAAAAAAATAACTGCTTTTGTTGGGGTTTTTAATAATTCCTTTGCCTCATGGAACAACCCTCCGTTGTTCAAGGCACCTTGCAAATATACATGTTGTCTATGTCCAGAGATCATACCAGAGACTGTTACAGAATTAACAAGCTTAAGACTCCAAACAAGCCACCTGCCAGGCTGAGTTTTTGAACTAAACTGTAATTTCTTGGTTAGACACTGGACTACAGAAGGGATGCTGATCTTGAAGCTAGACAGATATGTTAAATACTCCCTGCCTGGAGTAACTGTGTGGACGTGTAAGTTTAATGTCATTGGCAAGAGCAATGATTAGTTGCACAATTAAAAGGAAATACGTATAAAGCTTGAAGGCGAAGTCCAGAGTGCTTGTTAGTGTAAGTAATATATAAGCTTCAAGCTTAAGTAAAATTCTTGAAATAAAAAAGGTATATGAGACAAATTTAGTTGAAAAAAACCTTTTATCTGCATCACAGAAATACAGTTGGAAGGTTTAACAAGAGATTCTCAAGTACTAGGCTACTCTGTCATGGTGCTCTGTGCAAAACCAAAACATTCTCATCTTTCATTCTGTTGAATAGATCTGTGTATATCATACTATATTAAAGATTTTGTCAGTTGACATGGGACATCAGAAAAGCCATGAAATGGTGTGCACCACAGACAACATACATCCGAATTCTGTGTTGACTTGTTGCGGATAACCCTTCCGTGTTGGTTTTTTTTTTTTTTTTTTAATGTCAACAAAACCAAAGTTTTTACTCTTCTGGAAATGCACCTTTGTTACAGGATCCTTAAGGCTATCATATGTTGATTATAGGCTGCTTTTGTATTTCACTTTGATCCACAATACTACTGGCACTTATTAATATTGTTTGCATAAGAGCAAGATTCTTGTTTGGATAAACTTAATCACATGGGTAATTGGTAACAATTCTCAGGCTGTGGGGGAGCAGGGCTGACCCTGAAATGGCATTAGCCATCTCTTTCTCTTATCTCACAGAATGAGTTTAGTGTATTTTAATCTTTTTTTGGCTGAAGTTAAGGCTTATTTTGTATGGACTAATTTTCTTTCTGAACTCCTATTCAGGGTAGTACAATGGATCTTATTCCAATTTGAAAGTTATCTTCTCTTTCCAGCATTTGAAAATACTGGGATTGTTGCTATGAAGGCCTAATGCTGTGTATTTAGGTTCTAACATATTTCAGTAACCTGGCACTAAATTATATACGTATATAAATTAATACAAGGCACTAAACTACCTTTTTTTTTCCCCCCCCTAAATAATCATGGTATAGAAGTAGGCTGCTGGTAGCAGAATTTCTTTTTAGCAATTTTTTTCCACTGAAGTGGAAATTGGGTTCTAAATTTGAAGATGATCCAGATATTTGAAGATATCACTAACGTAAATAGTGAAGATTACCTTCACATGAGGAAAAACATCTAGAGAGAGCATCTTTGCAGCTGTCCTTGCAGGACTGTATCTCTCATTAAGACAGGGACTGGAGCACAGAAGAGGAATAAGCTCTTTCACAAGACCTTTGTGGAAGAGGTGCTTTGGTTTCAGATACTGCAAGAGATGGAGACTTCTTTAACAACTTGATATCCCAGCTTAGAGATCGCAAGATGCAGAACCTCCTCTGAATTGCTGTTAAGACTGAAAATGAAGTGTCAGTGTTTTTTGTTTTAATCCAACCAATTAGCAGGTAGAGGATTGCTCTGAATACTGCAACTGTGTGTTTCCAAACAATATGTGGCTGCATTGTTCCAAGCAAGGAATGGTTACAAACCTCTGGGTTTGTGCTGATCATCACGTGGTAGCTCATGCGCCTTTTTTCTGATAATTTAATTCTGAAAGACATAGTTGGGTATTTGACAAGTATATGAGCCTCTTATCTGAAAGGAAAAAAAATAACCAAAAATGGATCAATGAAATAGATTTTTGAGAAAGGAGGGGAATTTTGTTATAGGACAGAATGAATTTGCCTTGATCTGGAAAAGGGATAAGCTTTGCCTGGCAGGCTATAGGAGAGAAGTTTTGAGAATATGCAAAATAGCATTTTATTACTGCTCGTTTCTTGACTTGAATGGGTCAAGAGTCAGTTCGTGGATAAGGACACACCTGCTTGCCTTGAAAAGCTCACAGACACCAATAACAGCTCAGCATTTTGGTGAAGGGGAGGACACAGAAATTCTCAGCGACAAGAACAAAGAATTCTTTTTACAAGCCTAGACAACAGTAAGACCCTATTGAATTCTACAGTGAAGTGGATTTTTAAAAGGAAGGAAAGGAACTCTTTAGTTTAGGAAGGATTGAAGAGATGGTATAAATACCTACCGTAGCACTTGGGCAGGCCCATTCCAAGGACCTCAGGCTGTATTGACTTGACTGTGGATTTTTCTTAAACCCCCTAAACTGCATCACATTTTTGGACTGAAATTTCAGATCTGTGTTTCTGCAGGCCGCATTGTCCTGAGAGGCTAAACACCTGACTTTGGGCTAAACTTTAATTTCATATGAAATACATACTACTGCTTTTCCAGCAGCTGTTTTAAAAGGAAACAAACCAGGCAAGTGGCTTGAAGAACTGTACACTTCTGCCCTTGTGAATGATAGTAAATTGTGGATTTTTAGCAGACAGGAGTGTCTGTAGTTCAGGCCTACCCACTTAAGCTGTAAAGTGGGAGAAACCTATCCCTGTCTTACCGTTCCCTTGATTTTTTTACTTTTTTAAGAGGAGACTCTACATAGTATGTAGGACTTAATTTTGTGTCACACAGCTGACAACTGACCTGTACATTTTTGAGGAAACTTAATTATTCAGTATGATCTTAGTACCGTATGGGTACACTTAAAATGTAGATGTTGCGGCACCTAACTTGAAGCACTCAAGACCTTTTAGTGGTTTAAAGATTTGAATTTTAAAGACTCCAATGCTTTATCAGTTCTGTAGTGTTAGGCTGCAGTAGTTAAATGATGCTCACTCTTATGTTTTTAGGTTTTAAGGTGAACCATTGACATCTTTTTTCCAGTTTTAGAGAGATTCTTTAAAAACTGTTATCTACTAGAGCTTTTAATAATTCTGATCTTCGCAGATAAAGCTTTATTTTAACCGTTACATCATGGAACCAACTGCAATTTATTGTTGTCAAGATTTGCTTGTTAAAATGTTCTGAGTTAGAGATTAAGCCATAAAGAGACTTGAATTTTCAGTGCTGCACATAACAAGTTATTGTTTGGTTCTAGCTATTTTTGCCATGTAAAGGAGGGGGTTCAGGAACAGCAGCGATGTGTCATAGCGTTGCAGTCATGACCTGGCTGAATGATTCTGTGCTAATAGGAGACAAGTATCCCTATTTCAGATCAATGAGTCGTTGTCAACTAGAAATACTAGACATCTGGAAACCAGACACTGAAACTAGTTTTTGTTACAGTGTGTCTTGAATGTGTTTGTCCCTAAATGAGCAGATCTTAGGAAAGACTATACTGTTAACTGCCTTTTTTTTAAAAAGGGAGTTTTGGAAAGGGTGTGGCCCTTTTTCCTCCCCTCCCTTTTCTTCCGTCTGCTGTCTGTCACCAGTGTAGCGAACTGCAAACGTATAAACTGTATTTTAAATGTCACTGGCTTAATTTTGCGGATTGTGAGAAGAGGTCCTAGGGTTCCTCTGCAATGTGTAGGTTTCCCTAGGAATGCTGTCAAAGTGGGTCTTCCTGTCAGGGCTTCAGAAACTATAAGGGAGTGATTTGGAGGAAGAGAAGGGGAAAAAGCATAGAGATACAAAAAATAATGCTTAAATACCTCATTCTGAAAATGGTATGTGTTGTAATATTCTTGCATGTCATGGTATTGACTTATCTTTGTGTTTTCAGGGACTTTTAATTATCTTACGTATTTTCTGAATTTAAATATTCTAATAATTCATACTGGCTCAGAGATTCCATGTTAGACTTTCATGTACAGTTCTTCGGGCAGATAATACAAAAATTTTATTTTAGAATTAATAGTAATTTAATAGCCATTATTAACACATGCAGTGCCATACTTTGCTACTTTTGTTTTATATTTTTGCCATTGAAATACGTAGCCATTTCAGAAGGTAGAGAACATGTGAAAAAACTTTTTAGCTTCAAAGTGTCATACTAAATGCCCTTGATACATGGTAATGGCACAAGCATTTGAAAGTTCCAGGAATTTAAGTAGGTTAAAATGTAAATCTGAGAGGAGCATGGGTTTCCTTTAGCTTTCAGATAAGTCACAGATACCATTTTGAATGCTGAAATCTTCAATATCTTTAGTATGGTTATTTCTAAAAGGAGAGATGTTTATTATCTTAGTTTATGTGTTTATGGAAGAAAGTATGAGCGTGTCAGAGTTCTGAACATGTGAAAGTACTCAGTCCTAAGAGCTGATGGGAAGATTCTTGGGTCAGTTTCCTGTTGGAAGTGGCCTCCTGAGATACTGAGTGTTATTCATTTGATCTTTCTTAGATTTTTTTTTTCTCTACTGTTGGTATCAGGCTTGCAGTTATGCTTGTCAAAATGTACAAATTGTGTCTTGAAGCTACGAAGACACTTACAGCTGTCTGGTGAAAGTGGAAAAGATTTTTGTATTGTCTTGATGTTGCTTTCCACTACATCTTCAGAACTGAGTGGGCATCCACCAGTGTTTCTCAGGTTTCGATTAGCAGAGCATCCCTAATGCTGGTTAACAGGGTCTGCTTTGCAGCATTCAGAACACTGCCACATGGGCCTTAACCAGAGTTACAGAGCATCCAGCAACACTGTCTGATAATCTTTCTCACCGCCTGATTCCAGGTCAACAGTCTTGCTCCTTAAAGTAGAGGAAACAAGATTATTTAGACTGTGTTCTGCAAGAAAAAAATCACCAGACTTTGCTCCATTTTCCTCAAAGGGATGAGCAGACAGGTGTAGGGGAAATTTTTTTTTTTCTGTATTTCTCTGTTTTTCTGTAAATAAAGTTAGAATAGAGTTAAAACCCCTGCTTACCTCTTTAAACACCAGGTATCTGTGGAAGAAAAGTCCTGTAAATAAGCAAAAGTATTAATTGCAGGTGATATAGGTGTATTTAGCAAAACAAAAATGCAGTAGTGTAGGCAGTGGAACTGCATTATTTCTTTTGATTGACCGTAAGTGCATGTAAACATAATTCTCTATAATACAGATTTTGCAATCAGTTTGGAAACCCACTAATAAAATTCGTGAGGGAAGCAGTGAGACTGCTTGATGAAAAATATCAAAACACCATGGTTGATATGCTGCTACCCTCAACGCTGCACTGCATTAGCAATGAGTAAAATACCCGTAATTGAAGTTTAATATCTTGTGTTCTTTTCTGTTAGTACACTTAAAAGCAAATTTTATTTTTTCCCATGATTATTCAACTAGTTACTACAAAGATCACTCTTTAATGACCCATTTGTCTATGTTTGTATTACTGAGCTCTTAAAAACTGTAATAAACCCACCATTTTAGAATTATGTGTCATGGCCTGATTGACTTTCAGATTTAGCATTGACCATTTGAAAATTAAATCTCTTCTGAAAAAAATAATCCAGCTTTGCCTGTGAAATTCAGACTGGGTTCCTTTCCTGATATTTAGCAGTAAGAGATTCTGTAGGTCATCTTATGCCTATCATGACTCTGCAGTTTTATAACACTGTGATAGCTGGTTCTTTCTTGGGAAACATGAGGGAGGTTACTGTTTTATTGCTGGTCAGAAGTGGATAATGAAAGTTTTTTTTTCCTTTTCTGACAAATGTTTTTACTCTCCACTCACAATCATTGTGGAATATATACGCTTTTTTCTCTTAATAATTATACTCAACTTCAACCTTTGCTTGATTTTGCGTTCTTGCTCAGCCAGATAGAGGCAGGGAGCCACTTACTGACATTTGGTAACTTCAAAATGTGCTCTCAGGACCTGTTTGGAAAGCAAATTTTTGTGTATTGTATGTTCTTGTTAAAATCTTCCACTGATACATTTTCTTCATTCATTTTTCAGTAGTTTAACATTGTCTATAGCAATTTCCAGATTATTGAATGGTGTGCTCTCAACATAGATATGAAATGACCAAATGATCATAAGTTGAATGAGAAGTGAATGAATGTGCATGGGGAAGGAGATGGAGCTATTCCAGAGTGCAGCAGATTCTCCTCTGGTTTTAATTGCTATATTTAACATTTCTGAACTGTGTTAATCCAAGGAGCAGTGACACTTTGAAATTTTAGAAATTCAACTGGAAAGATACAGAAAGACCATTTGATAGGGCATTGCTGCACTAGTTTTTCCTTTACAGCAGAAGAGAAATTAGGTTAAAGGAAAAATAAAAGTAATATACTACTTTTTATTCCTATTTACATGTCTGTAAATCATTCCACAATCATTCTGCAGGTTGTTCTGCAGGAATTTTCTGGACTACTAGTTACTCAAGGATCATAGAACGTAAATTTTCTCATGCAATGTATAAATGTATAGCTAGACTTTTTTTTTTATGCCAGTATGTTCCATTTTGAGAACTAGGGAAGTCACTATTGCATCCACAGTACAAAATAATTTCTTGTAACTGACAACTGCTGAAACTAACTTACCAAAATGAGAGATGCAGCTGATCATAGCTGTTCAGAAAGTCACCAGCAGTGAATGTAAGTTGAAAACCAAACACCAGAAGGTGTACAAATACTGTCCTTAGCTCAGCTCTGCTTGTTTTGGCTGTATGCACAGCTGGTGTAATTCTCTGATCAGAACTCAAAGCAGACAACCCACTGAACTGGGGTGTGCAAATTCTGGGCTTTCCTCTTGAAAAAAACCCCAAACCAACCATTATGCCTATTTTAATCTTCTATGTGTAAAAGATTGAAGCATATCTAAAATGTGCCTGGCACAGGCAGACAATTTTCAGACTATGAAATTCTGCAGTTTATGTTTCAAACTATGAATTTGCCAGAATATATCCTCAAACAGCTCTGTTGAAGTCTTACAGCCTCCTAATATGCACTTCCTTCCTGAATGTCATCGGAATGCTTTTATCTTGGTTTCAGCCTCACCTTGCTGTGGGGTGAATCGTAATAGTTTACAGTGAAACTTGAGGCCAGCTCCCAAGAGAACAACTGCTACTATTTCTAGCATGGTATTTGTTGTACCTCTAATACCCTAGTTCGCTGATGGGTTTCGTTGCAATTCTGTTTCAGAACTCCTTTGGGTATAGTTTGTAATTAAAGAATGTATATTAATTGCAAAATTTACACTTAAATAATACAAAATGTAGACATCTATGTTACTTTCTAAGCATTCAACTTACATGACACCTTTCGAAGAACTGCTGCCTTCGTAGCTGTTAACACTAGTTTCAGGCGACAGTTTTGAACTTGTCACTCAGTTGTGCATGAAATCATTTTTGTTCATCAATGCAGTCAGTAGTAAAAATAATTTGCAAACCATTTTTTTTCTTCTTCCCCTTTCAGTAAATTCTAGTCTGATATTCAGTTTAAAATAAATAATTATTTTCTAGGTCAAGAAGTGGTGTTCAAGTGCCTTGGAGAAGGAATTCTCGAAAAGGCCTTTCAGGGATATAACGCTTGTATTTTTGCCTATGGACAGACAGGTGAGTCTCCTGTGCTAAAGGGGAAGAACACTTCTTGTGTACATGGGAAGTGGGAAGAGCAAAACATAAATATTAAGCTAGATAATATTTAAAAATTGTATTTTGAAATAACATAATGTGAAATGTCAAACATTTGGCACAGCTGGTGACAGTGCAAAGTTCTTAAAGCAGCTCTGTAAGTTCCTAGCTACTACCTATTGGGGCCACTTTCAAAGCCTGAAAGGAGTAGTTCATACCAAAGGCTTTTGTGTTTGAGTGTGTTCAAAGGGGTCTCAAGTAATGGCCCTGCTGAAGGAAAGCTTTTAAGATAACTTCTCTTTTTGTTTACCTGTACGTTGTAGTCCAAAGAGCAAGCTATCTATCTGGAATAGAATGTCAAGCTGTTCTGATATGTGCTTCCGGAGGAATAAAGAGTATTAAAACATGTGCTTCATGAACACATGAGTAGCTCAGAAACTAGAGTCTAAAGCATTTTCTTCTCCTTTTTTCCTTTAGGTTCAGGAAAATCCTTTTCAATGATGGGCAATGCAGAGCAGCTGGGTCTGATCCCACGGCTCTGTTGTGCTTTATTTCAGAGAATCTCTGTGGAAGAAAATGAATCTCATACTTTTAAAGTTGAAGTGTCCTATATGGAAATCTACAATGAGAAAGTCAGAGATCTGCTTGACCCGAAAGGGTGAGTAGCTTCACTCTCCCTCACAGCTTTCCTTATTTTTCTCTGAAACTATAAAAGTAGAAATCACCTTTGGAAGTCCTTGAGAAGGTTTTTTCAGAATGTATGTTTATATGACTTCTTTATAAAGGCTTAGATACCAAACACTAGAAAGAAGACAGTATCTATGTATAGCTTGTATATGAAGTAGTAACTGGCAAGGATCAATTTAAATATTAGGATACCATCATTATGATGCAAACAAATACTGTGTGAAGTAGTTTACCACCAGAAATGAAGACTATGTACAAGTAAATTCAGGGGTATTTTTTGCCATATGATCCAGAATTTTCATCAGCTGGGAGTTTGAAGCTTATTTACAACTTGGTTCTCCTGGTTTAGATGTTGAACTTTTTGAATGTGGAAGAGTAACACCTCAGAATATACTCACGGCACGCTTTTTTCTGTTTTGTCTACACAAAAATACTGGTTAGACTTGGAGATGTAGTTTGATACATCTAAACTATATTTGTAGTTTGTAGTAGACAGGAGGTAGTTTGATAGTTTTTTGGGATTTTTTTGGCTGAATTTTGATATATGTGGTATATATTTTGATTCTTGAATATAATTGCGCTAGGTGAAGAAGTACACAAGTTAGTTAAAAAGGTAGATTTGAGACTTACTTGATACATGTCAATAAAGCATGGAAAATGCAAGAAGAATTGAAGCTTTAGCAAATTGCTGGGGGGGAGGAGTTTTGGTTTCCTTTTGTGTCAGCATTCTTTCTGCCTAATAAGGCCTTTCGGGTTTTGTTTCAGCCACAAATCCTGGGGTGGGAGGATGCATTAAGAATAATCATGTATATAGATTAAAAATGGTTAGATTAGTTTGAGTCTTTATTGTTAATTTGAGTTAAAAATTATTCTGGAAGACTTTTTTCCTCCTGTTATAAGACATAAATTGACTTCCACTATATAGAAGATTCTTACAATTTCATACTGTAATTTTTGTTGTTCAATAAATTTCACGCTAGTGGTTATGCATAAAGTCTACTTTATTCCACAGGAGTCGACAGTCCCTTAAGGTTCGAGAGCACAAAGTGTTGGGACCATATGTAGATGGCCTGTCTCAGCTGGCTGTTACAAACTTTGAGGTAAATCTAAACCAATTACAAGTTTATAAATAACACCTATGTACATAAGCAGTAGGAATCTTATAAGAGATAAGCTAGTATCTATCAAAACATTTTGGTTCTTGAGTGTTTATGGTCTCTGGCAATCACAGAGATCTTCTCTAATGCTTCAGGAGTATTTATTTCATGTGAAAGCATTGGATTTGCCTTTACATTGGTTAAAAACGTAATAGTAGTATCTCTTTACAGTTTTCAATGCATACAGTAAACACCAAGAACACAATGTTTCCTTGACACGGGAAATATGAGGCTTCTGAAATAAAAATATTAGTCTTCCAGCATTAGTTCCTTTGATTTTTTTGTTGTTGAATACGACCTCTTATTTTATATGGGTGTATTGCATGAGGACCTACAACAAGGCTTATATAATTAATAATTTAAATCATGACAGCATCTGAGCCTACTTGCGTTACCAAAACACATTCAAATAAATCAGTATTGTAGAAGCCAATGAACTACTGTAGCTACAATGGAAATAATTAAAGCAGTGCAGTTGTATGAATTGCGTAGGCCTTTCATTTTATGAGGAAGCTGATTTTGAAATGTTGGCTTTTAAAATATGTTCATTCTTTGTGTAGTTTTATGTGGGAACCATTTTGCTTTTTTATGGGGATTTTTATTTTTCTGAAGCATCTGTGTGTATTACAGAGTTATAAAAACTGCTTTTGCAGCTTTTGTGGTGAATTGCGTACTTTGAAAGCACACCTCCTTTGTTCAAATTCTAGGAAATTTTGTTCATATCTAGTTTTTGGCTGATGACTTTTATGAAGTTGTCTTGGAAGACTCAGCAAACATAGATCAGACTGGGCATAGTCGTCTTTGTTTTTACATATATGGGAACGTACAGGCTCCAAGTGAGGTAACCCTTTGAGCCAATTAAGTGAAGATAGTATTAGTGCAGCTCAGTAAAGAGACACGTTGTGTTCACTTGTGTAAGTAGATCTGTGCTGGCCTGATTTACTGGCATTAAACAATACGATTTGTAATGTGGATGTTACCAACATATTTCAGCAGCAGATAAGGAGGAAGTGCACTGAATGTAGTTGCTGCGTTTTTAAGCACAGCACTTAAAACAGAAATGTGATTTAACGTCGTTCTGTGGAATTCTATACCCTCTGTACCAATATATCTCAAAACGTGCGAAGAATTTTGTCATTACTTCTGCCTTCCCTTCTTCCTCTCTCCTACACGTACACAACCTTCCATCTAGATGGGGATTTTGTTCAGCAAGCACAATACTTGCTTTTATCCTAGCATCATTTTTTACTCTTTTTGCTCTAGGATATTGAGTCACTGATGTCGGAGGGAAACAAATCACGAACAGTTGCTGCAACCAACATGAATGAAGAAAGCAGCCGCTCTCATGCTGTATTCAATATTATAGTGACTCAGACGCTTTATGACCTGCATTCTGGTGTATGTATTTCTGTTGGTTAATTTGTGAAGTTATGGTGAATTCTTCTTCTTCCCTTCTCCTCCACATACATGATCTGTTTAGCTGTGTTTCTACCTTTAATGCCATGGGGTCCAGTACTTAAAGTAATATTGGCAAGACCATAAGATTGAGAGAACCCTTGAAGAGTGAGGAAGCACACCAGATAAAGCAAACAGTTGGGTCACTTTTTAAGATTATGTTGCCACCGTGAAACCTGTCTTAGGTCTTAACTGTTGCTGAAGTTGATATGTTTTAATGGCCTTCTCTGCCAGTAAGTTTATTGTTGTTACTACACAGCTGATTCTGGTTCATTAGTGCGTCAGCCCTTTCCTATAAAATATTATGAAGAACAGTGTTTCGTGGTACCAATGTCAGACATGTTAGCACTTTGTGCTGGTGTTTCTTAGCTATTGTTCTCCCATGTCCCATCTGCGCAGAATTCTGGAGAGAAGGTCAGCAAGGTCAGCCTGGTGGATTTGGCTGGGAGTGAGAGAGTGTCCAAAACGGGAGCTGCAGGAGAACGTCTGAAGGAAGGCAGCAACATAAACAAGTAAGATGTTGGCGTACGCAGGTTGCGAAGCTTAATCTTGTAAGAATCACTGTCGTTTTCTTGGCCTCCTCTCTTGGTGTGCTTGTCACAAGTCAATTCTTCTGACGAGGTCTATCATTTGCAGTTTGATGTGGCTCTTTCAGCTGCTCTGTGCTAAACACCATATGTTTCCTTACATTGGCATGGGGACCCTGATTCATACTTGACTCAGATGAGGGCTATATGGAAAAAGTGACAGCGCTGCTCTTTAATTAAGCATATACCTTTTGTGATTCATTCATACACCCTGTCCCCAGGCTCCTGTGTTTGTCTCATCATCTGCTCAAGGAAGAATGCAAAGTTGCAGAGTTGAATGGCTTTGTTCCAACATGTATTAAAATATGTAAGAGTATAATTCACAGTTTAAGAAAACCAGATCAGAATGAATCTGTGTTAGTTTAGCATTGCCTTGGGCATTTGTACTCAAGCAATGACAAGTTTCAAGGCACTTTTTTTACTGTAATTACTGTGTTACTGCCCAAAAGCAAGAATTTAGCACGCTATTACCACTGCCTTAAATACACTAATTTTCCTGGGAAAGTAAGAGTTTAACTGTTACATTAAAAGCTACTGCTTTTTCAGTTTAATTTTAAAATGCTACAAAATGTTTTGGTATTTTAACTTAACAATGACAGCACAAAGTGTGTTTGAACAGCATTTGTACTTAACATGATTTAAAATTACCTCTTTTTAGAGTTTGAACATGTTTGTTCTTTCTGGCTTAATTTCTAATCTGCTTTGTGTTTAATGCATCATATTGGTAGCCACGCTGGTGTAGTCCTTGTGCAACAAAATGATGTGGCTCTGTTTGCCTAATGGCAGGGTACCCCACAGGGTAAAGTTACTAGTTAAATTCAGATTGGTTTTACTAGAAACTGTGTGTTTGCATTTTGCATAAGCAAAGGGGAAATTAAATGTTTAATTCTTAGAGAAGAATTCAAATACCAGCTCTCCCACCAGCTATTAACAAATTGCAAGTGTAGCTGTAGATACAGAAAGACTTCCTATTTTTTCTATTAGGATGCTCACACTCAGTGTTAAAATTCTACAGTATCGATGCAGTAGGAGAAGGTTGTCTTGCCCATGCTGAACCTCTTTGACAATACAGGACTTCAGGTGCAAGCACCAAACTTTTCTGTAAAAGATATTTTAGAAGTGGACAGCTCTACATTTTCCCATCAACTAAATTATTATATGGTATGAATCTGTATTACTTAGTCCATTTATAAAGCATTCTCTATTTGAAATCTCTTTTGGAACTGGTAGGCAAAAGAGAATTCTTAGTGCTGTGCTTGGTGTCTTCTGTTAGATCTTTGTTGCTACTTGGAGCTTTAATGAAGTCTGACTCTTACTGGAAGTCTCAAAATTTGTATACATGTTTTATCAGACTAGTTCTTCAGAGAACATTGTACACAATCTTCATTTGGATGTGATGCACCTTACTTACTAGGTAAAGGCAATAATCTTTTCTGGAGTGATACAGTATACTTAAACCATATACCTTACTATGTCAGCTCCTTTTTAAATTTTTTTTTTAATTCTTTTATTAAAAAGCAGTAAATAGAGTTGGTAGCATGCACTGTGTTTAATAGGATCAAAAATTGAGCTGCTGAAATTACCTGGCAATTAAATTTACTGCTTGCACTATGTTTCATTGCCTTGAAGAAGAATGTGGAAATAACATACCCATTCTGCATTTACAAGGCAGGGAAAATGCACACTCATCTGTGCGTACCAAAACTAAGTAGTATGACATTCAGTCTCCGCAGGTTTCTCTGCTCTTTGTTTTCTGTATGAAACCTGGCTAGGGCTCTGGTAGCTGCTGCTTCCATCCCACAACTCATTCTGTTGTAAATGCTCTTTCCTATCGTGGGTCAGCGTGTTGCAGAGGGGAGGTGACAGATCGCTCTCCCACTTCCTGAAAAAACAGAGAGTTGTGTCATTTTGTTAACATCTTCATAAAGTTGTAATAAAGATTACTTCTGTTTTTCTCAGACCTGATACAGAGTTGCCGTGGTGAAGGTGCTGGATGTCTGCTCTTTATTATCCGGGTTTTTGGGGGACTTGCCATACCTCACAGGAAAGCTGGATGTGCTGGTTCCTCCCCAGGATGTGCTAATTCCCATACCTAGCGTAGAAATTCAGGTGCTTAACAACTCTTTGTGGTGTAGTCAAAGAATTTCTAGAATACAGTAGTACGAGGAAGCAGAATAAACAAGCTGTCAATTAGTGGCTAAGAAAAATACTTTCTGTGACCAGTCTGCAATTTTAACTCTGATTAGTAAAATCATAGCTGTTGTCATTTTAACTTGAGAACGCAAAAAGAAGCCTTTAAAATATAGGCGGCGGGGCGGAAGGAATGGGTTGGGACAGGTCTGGCTCCAAGCTGATTTTTAGGGAGGTTTTTTTCTATTCAGAGTTAACTAATAGAAAGGTGGTTTCTGCTCATTGAAGAATTTGGCTGTAAGTTGTACAGAAGTAGCTTGAATGGGTAGCATTTAGGGACAGAGGTGTTCCTGCGGAGAGGAACCACCACTTCCCTCCAAATGCCACTGAGCTTCCCTGCCACCCACTAGCAAGGGCAGCCTGGTCATGCCTGAGGAACAGGAACGAGGAGAACAGAAATTGTGCAGAAATGGCTCATGCCCTTGCACCACGTAAGTTCAGTCTGCTGCTTCTGAACTGCCTCAGACTGCTGTGCGCTACAGGCTTAGGTTGATTCATTGTATAAGTAGTGTGAGATAGGATCAAGGTAATGATGGATCTCTGATGAATCATTTAGCGTGAAGGAAAGCAGCTGATGAGTCCTGTAATTATTTTGTTGGGCAGCCATTTCTTTTACTGCTTTCCTTAAAGTCTTTAAACAGCTTTGCATTAGAAATCTCAAGCAGAATGCATAAATGACTCCAGTTTGGATGTTATTGCAGATGTTAACAGTCTTAAAATCAGTATTTATAAGGAGCAGAAATATTACCACATCTTTGAATCCTGTGCTAATAAACTGTAGCTTATAATTTCCTGTTCATTAAAATACAGTGCCTATAACTCGAATTGGTGTTGCAGCCCTGTTGTGAAATAGTTTTCAGTGATAGGCCTTTGTGAATCCCGGTTCTTCCCATCCCCCTTCTGAGTGTCCTTTTCTTCCCCCTCCCTCAGTTTTTTGCTTTGGTTTTCACATTTCCCCTTGAAAGAGGAATCGGAGGACAATAGATCAGGGTGATTTTTTTAACTTTATGCTCCTTGAAGATGGACTCCATCGGGATTATGCTGGTGGTACTTTTCAGTTGTGCTGTAGGAGGTTGCTATGGAGCAACATCAGCATCCTACTGTTTGTTCTCGCATGTTTAGCACGCTGTCATCTCTGTCTGAGACCAGAGATTGGAGGCAAGAACCAATTCTCCCTCCCTCATCTTCCCCCCCACAAGCTTTCAGACATTGTTAAGCTTTTGTTTAGGTCAAAACCTAAAACTGTCCTTTTTTCTGTGAATTTTTCAGAGGTGAGTTGGAAAGTTACCGTATAGACAAATTTACAAAATAGGGTGCTCTCTTGGGAGATCAGATTGCCTACCCTCTCCTTAAATTTCTTTTTCTTCTAATTTTGCTTTCGGGGGGGTATGCTATATCTCTATACCACTTTGTGCTATATGCAGTATGGGACGTATTTTGTGACATATGTAATGGTTCTTGTTACCTTACCTTCAGATGTCTTCCTTGAAATAGTCTTCTGCCGTTTTTTGTCACTTTCTAAATGTTATCTCTGAACCACTGGTGGTTTCCAGGAGTACTAAGGCCTTGTTACAAATACTGTGCAAACACTGCCTATCAACTAAAATAATACTACTTCTTTGAAAAGAAAACTCAAAAGGATGGAGTGGAACAGTACAATTAAAGATGTATTTGACTATCTAATTGCAATGCTGCTGAAATTTTCCTTGCTAGTTATAAAGAGTAGCTATATAATTGGGTGTGAGTATGACGGACCAATATGCTCTTGGGCTTCAGCACTGTCTGTTTTAAAACCCTTTAGGCATCTGTTTAATGTTCTCAGGCTCCTGAACCAGCTCATTATCTTAAACATACTCACCCCAAGAGCACCGATGTCACTTAAAATTTACACAGGGTTGTATAACAATTGGATTACATAATGCACATAGATTGCTAATACAGTTACCCCGGTGGGTAGGAGTGGTACATGTACCAAAATGAATGAGTTATCTGTATTTTCTTCACGATTCTAGAGTGGTGTTTGGGATGTGGCTGTCTGCTAAGCAATTTGGGGGCTTTTCTCTTTCATGCTTGTGCAACATTTTTGTAACTGGGAGATTGTTTGGTCTGTTCCCCCCACAAGAAGCTACTGAGGCTCCACCTCAATTATGTCAACCCATTTGTCAAGGAACCTCTTAATCATTTTTTTCTGATGGGCAGTCTTCCATTGTTTTGTGATGGGTGATTAGTTACTGGTTCACCAGGCAGACTAGTTCTCCTGGGACACAGCTTGCTTTGTCTTGAGTATGCCTCCTTACAGCTTCAGAATTTTTCAGTTTTAGTCTGTTGTTGAGCCAGTGCTCTTAAATTATTGTTCCTAGAGACAGGGGATTCTTGCTGTGCTGCCAATGTTGACTCTTAACATCATTGTGAGATAGCATCCAAGATAGAAAGATTTTTAGTCTCTGAGAAAAGGTAGATACCAAAGGCAGTGATTCTCCATGTACTGAAGCACTCCTTTACACTTTTCAAACTATTTAAAATACCCGAATATTTCAACTTAGTCTCAGTCTTCCTGGAACTTGGTCTTAGTACTAGATCAGATGAAACACTGTAGATATCAATCTTTTTCTTCCAAAGATGTAACTTTAATAAATACATTGCCCTGTTTGGAGCAGGGCAATGGGCTAGCTGATCTCCTGTGGTGGTTTCCAACTTAAATTATTCTGTGATGTTTTAAAAATTGGATGTGAAGTTCTGCAGAGCACAAATTAAACTCTCTAGCAAATCCCCTTTTCTGTGTGTAATTAAATCTACATTTGCAATATGTGTAAAAGCTGTTCTACTGTGTTGCATTTACAGATCACTTTCAACGCTGGGCTTGGTTATATCATCACTCGCTGACCAAGCAGCAGGGAAGGGGAAAAACAAGTTTGTGCCTTACAGAGACTCTGTACTCACTTGGCTTCTCAAGGTAATTAATATTTTCTGTTCACCCTGTTTACAAGATGTCAGCTTAAAAATGTGGAGGATCATTGTAGCATACATCTGTGTACATGAACTTCTTATCTATTTTTTTGAAGAAATGAGCTAGGGAGCTCTCATAGCTTTAAGTTGTTCCAAGTAACATGGACAGCTAAGCGTATCTTGTGTTACTTCTATGTAAAGTCCTATTTGGCTATTTTCAGTTATAGTGGACTCAAAGCTTATGGAGGTGGCTGGAAATGTTTATGGATCATATGGGTTAGTTTGCATCCAGAGTACCTTTCAGTGTCTAAATAGCAAGCTTTGTATTTTAAGTAGCTTTGTAAAGACATTGTATAGTCTCAGTACAATTTTTAACCCTCAAACTTTCCGTGGATGTGCTCTATAGGACAACTTGGGAGGAAACAGCCAAACTGCCATGATAGCCACAATTAGTCCAGCAGCAGACAACTATGAAGAAACACTCTCTACTCTGAGATACGCAGACAGAGCCAAAAGGATAGTTAATCATGCTGTGGTGAATGAAGATCCAAATGCTAGGGTCATCAGAGAATTACGTGAAGAAGTTGAAAAACTGAAAGAACAGCTCTCGCAAGCTGAGGTAACAGAATTCACAGTACAATGTAAACAAGAGTTTCCCAAGGGAATGTCCAACGCCGACTGGAAGACTAGCTTTCTTTTTAAGCCTTACAAAATGAGGAAAGGAAGAGTCTTGCACTTTTTAAAATAATTAACCTTTTTTCCTGATATAAATCCAACATAATATTTGCTTATTTTTAATAACTTTGTAATGACAACTTTGTTCTGAGGGTGACCCTCGTCAGAATAGACTATTCTTGAAGAACTTCATGTCAAGCAATAATTGATGCAGCACAGATTAAGAGCTAGAGTAAAATTTCCTTCTGTAGACTTACTAGCAGAAATCATTTTTGCATTGGTGGACTGTATAATTTTATGATGTCAAATGGAAAAATGTGAAAAGCTGTAAATCTAGTATTGAGCCACAAAATATATGGGACATTTCTTTCCTTGACATTTGTGAAAATCTATAAAAAAATTTTCAAAACTGCAACACTGAAACCATCAGCAATTTGTTTTACTGACTTAACACTGTGTGATTGCTGCTTATCTTAGGTTTATACTTCTAACTGGAGAGTAAAGTATCAGGGTAGGCTAGTTTACTTGCTGATATCTGGAGAAATTAGACACTGCACTGTAGGAAAATACTTTTTTCTTCAAGCAATACACAAAATACCGGTGGAAAAAGAACAGAAGGGTGCCTGAGGGCAAATTGGTGTGGTGTTTAAACTTCACAATCATTTAAGGAATAGCGTGCCTTGTATGAACAGTTCCTTAGAGGCTGATAGGGGAAAATCTGCTTTAAGAAAAAGAAATTATTCACTTTTTTCCATAAATAAAAATCTGTTCTAATTCCCTATTTTAAATCAGGAAATATTATTTTAGCACATTCTTAATTATGCTGGTGGACTGTGGCTGAACACAATCAGTAGGAAGGTGTCCAAAGTCTTACAATTTTTTTTAAAAAGTTTTTTTTTCTCTTACGCCTTCTGTTAAAAACAGTTAGAGTTATAGGCCAGCTTGTTGAATTGTTACTTGGCACTGGACATATTCAAGCCCTTTGCTTTTGTTTCCTATTGTGAAATGAGAAGCCTATGTTAGCTCCAGAGCGTGCCTTCAAAGGTAATCAACAGGGTCAGTCTGAAAGTTTCCAACTCTAGGAACACTTAAGAAACTGAGATAGAATGGAAGGCTAAATATTGAGAGGAATTTGTATTTGAAACTACAGTTGGAAGAAAGACTTCCCAGTTGAACTTCAGACAGCTGAGAGTTAGTTTTAAAATATTCAGATATTTTTATACAGACACTGAAGCTTGAGTAGCCAGGCCCAGAGATTTTGTTGGTTTCATTAACCTCTGGAGCTGCGTTGATCCTCAGCTATTTCAGATCCAGACTGTTATAGGTTGATTCTGTCCTCTTCCTTTGCCAGTGACCTGTTTCTTCATCTTCTGCCATGAAAACCCTGGGGATATAATATGAAATGCAGCAAGTATAGGTTTCAACTATGTTGCTGTGTTCAGTTTCCTTGTGCAAGCAGATATTGCAATGGGAAGAGTAGCTGAAGGTTTTTGCTGATTTCTGTCTTTTAGGCCATGAAGGCACCAGAACTGAAGGAAAAATTGGAAGAATCTGAAAAACTGATAAAAGAGCTAACAGTCACCTGGGAGGAAAAGCTAAGGAAAACAGAAGAAATTGCACAGGTATTTCAGAAATTTTGTGGAGAAAAGGCCAGATACTCATATAGTGCAAGTCAGCTGAATTTTGTGAGCTTCAGTGCTGCCTTCCCCACCAGCTATTTAAAATTCCTCTGGATTTTTGTCTTTTCCCCTGGTTTCTGGTTTTTTTGTGATTTTGTTTTGTTCTGGTAAGTCTAAATGTCATTAGAATAAATGTAGCTGTCTCATGATATCATTGAGCAAAGCTAATATTTGCTTTTAAAATAAACCATCTAAATATGTTTGGGCAGCTCATTTATTTATAAGACCACAGTGGGATCTTGGATGTGCTTCCCTTGAAGTGACTAAGGAAATGAAGAATTACAAAAGGATCAAAATTTTGGGTGGTATTTGTTGCTTTTGTTTTTAGTGAATTCTAAACAAGAGAAGGAAAATGTGTACATGTGTTCTCCACTGTTTGTTCATTATTACTGTACTTAAAATAAGACTTCTGCATTCCAGTGTACTTTTTCATCATTTCCACATTCTAGTCCTAATGTTCCAGAAGTGTGTTTTGGTGCAACTACTGTTTAAATTTAAAAAAAAAAAAAAAAAAAAAAAAGCGGGGGAAAAACCTAACCAACCCCAACTAGCCAAACAAAAAACTTCAACACCCGAACTGGAGCAAAGCAAAAGACATGTGTGATCGAGTAAATGCTTTAGCTGAATTAGTAATAATAATAATGATGATAATACTGCAAAAGAATAAACCTAAACTGTGGCATGCTATTTTCTAAATTATCTATGATTATGATTATCTTTGAAGTAATTGCAACTGAGACTTTTCTAACTAACATAGAGGTTCAAAGCCACATTGTGTTACTTATGAGTGGCCCTAATAAAATCAATAGGGCTGCTTAGGTAAGTAAGTTCCACTTTGGGGAAGCAGGTGTTTGAGGATTAGATCTAACTTTTTATTGTTGGTGTATAAAAATAAATTCTGTTAAACATACGTGACCAATGTCTTAAGTTCTGTTTCTGCTAGCAATATAAAAATGCACATTCAGCATGCGTGCCTTCAGTTTTAGTTGCTCTGCTTTCATTTACTTGCTCTACTTGTCTCTACATATTGCAGCAGGCAGGAATAACCTATTTTTGTGCTTGCAGGAGAGGCAAAGACAGCTAGAGAGCATGGGAATTTCCCTTGAGTCTTCAGGTATCAAGGTTGGGGATGACAAGTGTTACCTGGTGAACCTGAATGCAGACCCTGCACTAAATGAGCTTTTGGTTTACTATTTAAAGGTAAGAATATCAACAGGATGTTTACACAGAATGAAAGGACACTTGTTTAATGTTTTGAATTTCTGGCTCAATTTGTTATTCAGAGGGTATTTAGATTTTTAAGACTAGTTGCAGCAAAATAGGATGGGCCTCCTCCTACTGTTTAGGCTTTTGTTCTCCCTTTTGTAGTTCAGCTTCATTGTTTTCCTAATTAATCTCCTGATTGCCAACAGTGGGAGAAGTGCTCAGTGTGTGCCAGTCTTGAAATAAATTCTAGCTTTTCTAGACAGGATATGAACAGAATTGTCTTTTGGACTGAACTTGAAGTGAGAGCCTTGTGTTAGATACTTTTTGTTAGCAAACTGAGGATTGCTTTATATATTCAATGAATTAATCATAAAGTGATGATGTTTAGTAGTAATTGGTAAGAGTAAACATAATCTTCGATGACAGAAAAGCTTAAGAGAAAGGTGAAAAACTGCACTGTTAAATATACAGGAATTTATTTTCCTAGTACCACTAGCTTTCATACCATTCTGTTTAGCATAGTCCTGTGTCAGAGTGAAATAGTGTCAAATACAAACCTAGTGAGTCCATAAGGAAACGTGAGCTCCTCGTCAATAGGATATGAAAGACTACCCTGTCTATTTTTAGAGTTATTTTTCTGCTTTAGTGGCTGAGATAGGGCTTCTGCATTTGAACAGTAGCAAATAAAGCACTTCTCTAACAGCAGCAAAATATTTCAGCCAAAACTACAATATGACTTTAAATTATGTAGAGATTAGTATGTTTAGCTGAGTAGTTATATGGCTGTATTCTGAAAAGCAGCAGACTCCATGCACCTTGTTTTACTATCCATGTTGTCCTCTGTTATATATGCCTATATGACATGGCTGGTTTTCTTCATTATTTGCATTTATTGCTTGTGTACAAGCATAGTCTGAGAATATTTTTAAATCAGAATTTATGTGTCAACTGCTTTATCTTAATACAGTTTTAGATAAAGCAAAATAAAGTGCAGAGCAGAAGCACAGTTCGTGTGTGATTTTTTTTTTAGTCTTTGTATCTGCTGTAGCACCATTTCTGCTCTGTAGAAGTGCTCAGCAAAGGAGATCATGTAGATTGTGCAGTCTCAGTGCTTTAGCTAATATTTTCTTAGTTATATAAACAATGATAGTTTGCTTGTCTCTTAGTAACAGATTATTTTCTAGGATCACACAAGAGTTGGTGCAGATACCTCTCAGGATATACAGCTCTTTGGTATAGGAATTCAACCAGAACACTGTGAGATTGATATTGCTTTAGGTGGAGAAGTTACACTCACACCGAAAGAAAATGCAAGGTAAGAAAGATCATTGGCACTTTCCAGTGAAGTGTTTGCTTTTCTTTACCAGAAGATAACTTCCATGCATTTTTGTTTTACATAGAAGTATCTTAGATTCTGATCAATGAGTAGCTTCAATATAGATGACTTAAATAGATACTTAGAAGTGAAATTCAGCGATAAAACAGATTTCCCCACACGTGTACACTTCCGCCCAACCACTGTGCAGCATAACAGGCTATCAGTGATTTGGCTCAGAGTAAACCATTGCAAGAAGGTGATCAGTGGGAATGAGGGACCATTGCTTGTCTGTATCTTGGGGGGTAACAGGATCACTGAGATGCTGCTGGCTGTTCTGACCCGTGTGACGGGATAGTAGGCTGGTTCTTGAGGGTAAATTGTGCCTTGTGAGTAGTCCCTGTTGTAAAGCTCAGTATTCTGTGAGAAAGAGATGTTTTAAAGATCTGAAGATCTTTAAATTCTTTTCTAAATCTTTAATTACTGTTGGGTCTAGTAAATATGCAGTGCGATGTCACATTTTTCCTTTTGTTTCTACTTCTGTATTTTAATTATTTTTCATTTTGGGACACTGTGGCTTCTTGGGTGGAACTGTAAATGTCTTTGTCACTTCATCTCCAGTGGCATGTGATAAGCAGTACCTTTGTCCTAGTTAATAGTCATGCAGCTTGACTGAAATCTGAATATCTAAATAATATATAGATTAGTATTAGAATGAGAAACAAAAGTTTGAGACACAACTTTTAAAAAAATACAATCTCTTTTGTTCTGCCTTCAGTAAAATATTTCTTAGCATTTGCATTTTTCTTCTGCAGCCTATAGTACAAAATTTCAAACAGATGGGATTCAGACTTGTGGTGACAGAGTTACTGTACTCGAAATCAGTTATTTTGACTGACATGAACAAAGGCAAATGTTAGTGGAAAAAACATACTTTGTTTTACTCATGCCTGATCTGCAATGCTTAAGTAGCTGTTCTTAAGATACTAGTGTCAAGAGAAATTTAGTTCCAGAATTTCATTGAAAAAATAAAAGTAAAAAAAATCTGAGTTTAAATCAAATGCTTACGTGTTTGTGTTGACTTACTTGAGAGAGACAACTGAATACAGAACACTGCATCTGAAAAGGTGTTTTTATTTTACTTAATTTCTTTCCCCTTTCAAATAAAGTGTTCTGCTTTGTAACTCCCATATGCAAAAGTTCAACAGCTCCATTTTTCCCGTTTTGTGATTAAAACTTAAATGCGAAGAAACCTAAATGCAAATATAGCAGTATACCAGATGTTCACAAAAGTAGAACGTTATTAATAATAGACTCCATTTGTTAAAAGAATGAAACTTGGATCTAAGGGTCTTTTCTTACGCTTGAATGCCGAGTATGTTAACAGTATGTTTTACAGCTCTGTGTTGACTATCTTACATCTTGGAGAGCTTTATCAGTAGGATTTGCATGCATTCAAGTTTACAGACCGTTTATAAGAAACAGGCAGTGACCCAGTTTGAGAAATGGGCATTTAAAGAAAAACCATGCAACTAAAAGCAACCTTGTCTGTACGTTTACTGAAGAGTTGGTACCAGCCACAGCTGGAGGGAAAAGGCGCTTTGGTTTAGTTCCAACAGTAGAAATCAAACCAGTGACTTTCTCATTGATTCTTTAATGAGCACTTAGCAGATTTGTGCATCATGTGATACATATCACTGTCTGTAGATGGGAGAAACAGTAGATTTCGTAGTTACTTTTCAACCTTTTAGGATTTCACTGAAGTTATATTTTCTTCTTTCAGATCCTGTGTAAACGGTGCACTGGTATGTTCTGTCACTCAGTTATGGCATGGAGACAGAATATTATGGGGAAACAACCACTTTTTTAGGTAATAGTTGATATTTACATTCCAGCCTCTCTGTGTTCAGCTTTTTTTTTCCTACTTCTACTGTTCTACATAAACTTTTTAGAAACTGAATTTCAATTTTTACACAGAATCAATTTACCAAAGAGGAAACGACGGGATTGGCTGAAAGACCTTGAAAAAGAAACTTCGTTAGGAGAGCATGATCTCGATGCAGCTAGTGAAGCTTCTTCAGAACCAGACTACAACTATGAGTTTGCACAAATGGAAGTTATTATGAAGACACTGAATAGTAATGGTAAGGCAACTGCCAGGTAAAAATGCTCTTTTGTATTGTCTAACAAAATCAGCATGGAACTTTAATTTCTGGGTAAAACAAATGGTACTCTTGCTCCAGAGGCCTTTGGGGTATTTTCAGGAAAAGATGTTTTACAGAAACAATGTTAGGTGCATATATACTTACATACATGTATATGTATGCACCTAGATATAAATACACACACAAATTAGTAGTTGGTTTATGCCCTGTCACACAATTTTACTTATATATCTGCTGTCCTTTATAGTGCAGCTGAGTTGTAATCATATGCCTGTCAAATCATTGTCTAAGTTCTACTAGCCTCTTGCTTTTGCAAGTTGCTGCAGGCAAATATGGCTCAGTTATTCATCCTTCTTTCTGTATCAAATATTACTGACACCGTTTTAACCTTTGTAGAAAAACACTGAAATGATAACAAATTAATAATCAAATGTCAGCTAGCGTGTTTTTTAACGGTTGATCACTCTCAGTGTTTTATTTAAGTTTTGTTAAAATCTATTGTGATGCCTTCTCTGGATGGTATAATACAATACAGTATATATAAAATAATGGTATGTATATATAAAACAATATGGTGTTTTCATGATTTCCAGAAGGTGACTCATAGTTCATATGATATAATATGGCATGAAAAACTTGGTAAACTACTGAATGCTTTGTACAGGGTTTTTAATACACGAAATTTGAGGCAAATGCCTTGGGTTTTGGTGACTGACCAAGAAGACACAGCAGATGGTGTTTCATTGCTTTCTGTTCTCCTTTCTCTGTATCTTCAAGTATTTCCATTGTCTGCTGTGGATTACTTGTTGAATTACAGTATTTACTTTGTTCTTGGTTCTTTAACTTTCACCGTTTTGCCGTTGAGTACAGCATGATGGTTTTGTATGCTTGATGCTCTAGCAATAGTTTGCAGGCTTTTTACAGTTTGATTTTAATGGGATTACTTGTGAGTTACAGGGTCAGGTCATTTCAGTTGGTGTGAAATTAATGTTTTGATAATAGAAATACTCTCATTATGGTTCGCTCATACCAGGAGACGAATTTCAGATGAATCTGCCATCCTGGTGGTCTTCAGTGTTGTCATCCCTCGTGAAGATTCTGTTGCCTGTCTTAAGGCCTCAGACCATCCCGTATCTGTGCCAAAACTGGGACAAAGGTTTTGAACTCGATTGGCTCATGCATGAGACTGCTGGAGAAGTTTGAAAGCATTAATTGATGCTTGTTCTGCTTGTCACTAACCAGGGATTTGACTAAACTGTAGCAGTCTACAATGAGTCAGTGTTCTTTGAATGGAAGGTCACATTTTTTGGTTTTCATGTGTTGTTATCTAGCAGATGGAAATGATTCTTCACAATGTTTCAGTGTCTTTGCATTTTAGTTCAGTAGGCTTTTTTGATTGTGGTCCAGGACAATTTTTGTCTTGGTCAGTTGTTTTCTGTGTCTTTGCTCCTCAAGAGCAGCACAGACCTTGCTGTTTCACTAGAGCTCTTTCCTCCCTAATGCACCATAAACATTCACAGTCGTACATGTCGCACAGTTCAGAGGCGTCATAACCCAATTACTGCGCTTGTTCTGTCTTCTGCTCCCTCCCACATAGGTGTTGCTTAAATAAGTTGGAGTAGTAAGTGATAATAAAACCCGGACAAAACAAGTGGCTGTGAGGATCATAGGCTCATCTTTTGATTCAAAGTCCAGTGGCTCTTCCAGGTTCTGTCCTTCTCAATGGTATAGCTAAAATACAGATTTTTTTTTCTTTTTTTCTTTTTTTTCTTCTGACAGGCTTCCAGTTTGTTGGGTAAGAAGTAAAGCAGCTTTGTTGCAATACCATTTATTTATTCTTCCTTAAAATGAAAAATAAATATGAGTAAGGACGAAGAAATAACTAAATAACTGAAGACAGTTAATTCTATCATCTGCTTTTTCTGGAGGAACCCTGGGAGGGGGATATAGGGTTATTTTAAAAATTTGATTAGATGATTATTTTATAGGCACGTGTGGGTTTGGGATTTGGGCTATATCAGTGGTTTGATATAGCCCAAAGCAAGAGTTTTTTGTTTTCCTTTGTTTTGGGTTTTTTTCCCCTCTTGATCTATTTGAGAACAGTAACCCTCTTTTAAATAAACAGCCTAGCTTCTCCGGGGCACAAACACATTTATTTTTATGGCATGTAACCAGGACAACAGTGTCACATATTGCATCCGGCTCCAGAGAAGCTCTGAGGAAAATGTGTAACTTCGAAAACAGCTGTAAAGAAAACATCCAGATTCTTTCCTTCCTTCAGCATGTTCACTTTCTTTGTGGGATTCTGTCAGATCAGCTTTGTACTGCTAATTTGTGATGCTGGTCAAACACAGAATGCAGCAAAGAAGTTTACTTTAATCTTATATATGGTGTAGTGGTTAAGTAAACAATGTCATTAGGTTACGCAGCTTCTCATTAAAGCAAAGAAAACTATTACAGCTCAGGGTGGGGATTTTGATGAAACTTAGCAAAACAGCCTATGTCATAACCTTCTTCTAGCTTGCTTAGAAAAATGCACTTACACGAAATCTTAAGAAATTTATTCAGCTTTGTTGTTACTGGATTAACAGATTTCAGATGCGAATTAAGTGACATTGCAGGAAGGTAGTAAATGCTGTTCATCCTATGGAGAAAGTACGTTCTTCTGGTTCAACGTTAATATTCTAACAATTTGCAGAGGATTAACTGCATACGATTGGTCTTCTTGGGGCCATTCAACTCTTGTCACATAAATATGTAAAGGATTGGGACTTCGGACTTTTAACAGTTTATGGAAATTGTTGTGTGTTTGGTGGGCACTGGGTAGAATCTTCCCTAATTTATTTGACTTTGCATGAGAAATCCAAAATTGTGGACCATGGCGTTTAAATCTAACTTAAATACTATTGTAGTTCTTTTGAATTGTGAAAAACTTGACTGTTTATTTTTTTATCTTTTAACTAGGTGGTTTACAATTCACACCATATTTTGGTTTTTCACTGTGAAAGGCTTGGGATTTTATATGTAAACTCTTTCAAAAATTAAATTGAAGACTTTTCTAAAAGTATAAATTTACCTCTTGCATTTCAATACAAGCATAACCTACTTGTTTTTTTCCTCCAAACAGTAGTGGATTTCGTTGAAATTGGGAATTTTTAGACTAGGTTCTTGCATCTTGTTCCAAATATTTTCCATGGTATAATTTGATCATGTGGTGGTTGTGATCCTGTAAATCTAGATGGCTGAAAAGATCACTTCTAATAAGGAAATCTGCTCCTTGAACTCAGAGCTGGTCTTTGAGCAGTTTAGGAAAGTCTTGTCTTAATGACTCAGCCTTAGATTCATTTCCTGTGTTTGCAAACACAATAGAGGGCTTTTAATTTCTTCCATGCCTCTTCTCTATCGTCTGCATAATACCTGATTTCTCAACCATTCTTACATGTAACTAAAACTGGTTTAGGGATTATGCGGTAAAACCTATGCATGTGAAGGTAATTCTGGTGTTTTCCGGAGGACTGTTAGGAGAATAATGATGATGAAGATCAGCATTAATAACTTGACTTGTAACCTAGAATATTAGAACTTGGTTCAGTCAATTGGGTTTTTTGCACTGTCTGTTTAAAAGCTAAAAATAGCTGTCTTTCTGAGAATGTCATGTACGAAAAAGTAATATTTCTGGTTATTTTAAGACACTTTTATATATCACTGTTTTGCTATTTGGTTGCTATTTATACTGACTAATTCTTAACTTTGTGCTTTATAATTACTATTGTGGTGGCATTTTAGGATGCCTTTGTGTGAAGCCAGTGATTTCTTCCATGACTAAGGCTAGGGCCACAGTAGCAACTTGCAGTACTGTTTGTTTTCTGCTAAAAATAAAGATGTGCTTTACATCAATCTTAGCATTTCAAAAAAAGGATGCTGAGAGGCAAACACAAACCCTCTGTAATAGCAGAACCCTGGAGATGCTTTTTGCTTCTCTGGCATTTATAATAGGAAGGATTTGTTTTACAAAGTGACTTGCTTCAATGGTATATTGAAACTGTAGGCAGTGAGTTAGTTTATCTTTAGCAAAATTAGTATCTGTAGTTTTAGTACTAAGTCATTATAGATTACTAAATACAGTAATGCTACATTGGTTTGCAAAGATGCAGGAGATGTGGGGTTTGGGAGAGAGTATGTATGTGTTATGGTGACCAACATACACTACTAGTGATGAAAACCCTACAGAACCTTTCATTTGAATTCTCTATGGCATGCTATAGTAACCCAAATTTTGTTTCATGTAGCACTGTAATATCAGGAAAACTTGTACAAAATCTTAACAAGGAATGGGTTTTGGTAGCGAAGGCAAGATGGTTCATAACTAAATCACACTGATGTGTTTTGGGGTTGTTTTTTGTTTGGTTGGTTGGTTGGGGTTTTTTTTGAGAAGCACACCTCTAGTTCCATAGTGGGACAGTGTGATTAAAATCTAAGTTTATTTTTCTCCTTCCTTTGTGACAAACTGTCATCCTTAAAAGTCACAGCAGCTCTTTTTTTTTTAATAGTTGCAAAATGGAGGAGATATCACAAAGAATTGTTTTAAAGCTGAAGTTTTTTGAATCTGAAAATCCTGATATGTCCTAGAGCTGCAGTGTTGCTTTCCCTAGTAATCTACCTCTCCAACTATGGAATTCCTCTCCCTTCCCCTTCTGAAGTACAGAATCAGCAGTTTGTTAGGTGATGTGCTGTCACGTAGATTACTCATCTACGTCGGCCCTCTTGCAAACCACTATTTTGCTCTATTTAAGCTTTCAGATGTATATACATGAAGCAGATGTATACTGGTAGTATATAGAATTGCTCTTTCAGAGGCACAGCCTGGCATTGGACCTAAAACCAGGAATAGACAGATGAATGTTTCTTTAATTTGAATGCAATTTAGGTTTAACCGTAGCTGATTGACACAAGCGGTTGTTGTTTCAGGATAGAGTATCCAAATGGATATTTGTTCTGGGTTGATACTGAGATGAAATGTGGTTTGTAAAGCCAAATGCAGAAGTCCCTTCAGAATGTACTTTGCTTCAGTGCTGTGAAGCGCGTTTGTGCAATGTGATGTGTAACTAGTCAGACAATTTGTTTGTCTCAGTTTTCATCTGCGGCTCTCCAGCATGTTTCGTTCTCTACCAAAATAGAAAAAGCAAATTGCTTTTTACTTCCTTAAGTTGCTTCCTTCTCTGGTTAACATCATCTTCCCTCATATTTTGCTCTGTTCTCTTCTTATTAATTTGTCCCCTTTTCCTACTGGGATTCTGGAACTTAATATAACTTCACAGTATCAAAGTATGCAGTAGACGAGGGTCTTAACCATTGTTCTAGCTTCTTTGCATGCTGTATTATTTTTTTTTTATGCTTGGATTTATTTAGTTAATGCAATATTTATTATTTTGGGAGGCAATGGCTGTCTTGTGTTTGCAAAGACTCTGGGATATGTGGATTGCTGGTTACCAAATAATTGATGACTGTTCTGTAATGCTGAAATGGCATTTTCTCACTTTTCTGGTTTTTTCTCTTTTTCTTTTTTTTTTTCCTCTCCTTCTTTTAGACCCAGTACAAAATGTGGTCCAGATCTTGGAGAAACAGTACTTGGAAGAGAAACGGAGTGCTCTTGAGGAGCAGCGGCTGATGTATGAACGTGAGTTAGAGCTGTTGCGGCAGCAGCTCTCTCCAGAAAGGCAGCATCAGCATGGCAGCGACAGACTCTCCTACACTAGTCAGACTGCACAGCAGAAAGTAAATCTCTGGACAGAAGAGAGGTGAGAATACTGGAGTTAAAACAAAGGAATTAATAAGAACTACAAAGGGTAAAAGATGGGGCTTGAACCACCTATCAGAAACCGATAATATTTTTTGGTAGACTTGACATGCAGTACAAGATCTGCCTGTGCCAAAGTGTTAGGATTTCATTTAGTGCTAGGTTCTGATGTGTAATGTGCATACAAGATCTTCCTATAGGATTTAACACACAAATGAAATAAGAATTTAGCTTTTATTGATCGCATTATAGCATTTTTTAATTGTGGTTTGTGGGTTTTTTTAACTAGAAAAGTGCTTCTGAAATGTTTAGTTTAGCAATTATTGTTATAAGTTCCTTCTGGAAAGAAAGGATAGCACAGAGCTAAATTAGTCAACTGAGACTAAGATGTCCGCTAAGGGGCATTGTGTGTTGAGAGTATACAATGAGAGCACAGTATTTTGCAATTTAAAACCTATAAAAAAATACAGAAAATGGGAGTCCTTAAATGTTGTATGTCTGTGTTTCTAAAAGTAAGCCCAGCTTTAGAAGAGAATTGCTGTGTATTTAAGAACTGCAGAATAGTCAAACAGCGTATGTTTGAGCTGTTTAAGAAGGAGAAGGCTTGCCATGAGGTGAACAGGCCTCTTTGCAAAGGAATAGCATGGCACCTGAATGCAACCTTGGTGAAAGATCATGCGATTTGCAGGGAGAGTTAAAAAAGCGGACTAGTAAGATGTGAGCAGAGTTTAAGCAGCATGTGTGTTTGCATCTTGGCAACAAGAGAAGCTTGTTCTTGGTATCATTGGGGAGAGAAGGACCATAAATTCTAGAGGCAGCAACTGAGATGATTTAAGTTTTCTGCATACGACATAAGAAGGACACAGACCTGTTGCAGCAAGTTCAGAGGAGGGTAACGAAAATGATCAGGGGGCTGGAGCACCTCTCCTATGAAGACAGGCTGAGAGAGTTGGGGCTGTTCAGCCTGGGGAAGAGAAGGCTCCTGGGACACCTTAGAGCAGCCTTCCAGTACCTAAAGGGGGGCACAGGAAGGTTGGAGAGGGACTGTTTACAAGGGCATGGAGTGACAGGACAATGGGTAATGGCCTTAAGCTGAAGGAGGGTAGATGTAGATTAGATATTAGGAAGAAATTCTTTGCTGTGAGGGTGGTGAGGCACTGGAACAGGTTGCCCAGAGAAGTTGTCCATCCCTGGAAGTGTTCAAGGCCAGGTTGGGTGGGGCTTTGGGCAACCTGGTGTGGTGGATGGTGTCTCTGCCCATGACAGGGGGAGTGGCATTAGATGATCTTTGAGGTCCCCTCCAACCCAAACCGGTCTATGATTGTATGATTTTCTTTTAAAACGGAAGCTTGATTAGTCACTCAGCCTTTTTCCTATGTGTAGTGAGTTTGAGTGCTCTTTCCTATTTTGATTACTTCTTCACCATTAAAAAAACCCCAATACACACATGTACTAGAGAAGTCTAAAGACAGACAGCCATGATTGTGTTGCAGCTTTCAAATTCAGAGCGTTAGAGCAGAAAAGATCTTGGTCTAGTTTTTGTGCAAGGTTTTGTCTTGTAATTTCTGCCCAGTTTGTCCTGGGAAAACCCCTAAACAAATAAACTGTTGACCCACTCACCAGTGATGACTAGAGTGTTTTCCATTGCAAGTATAGGGAGAAGTAGTGCTGTGTTTCAACATTAATTAAAATAATTGTTTGCCCTGGTAAGAGCTAAAAACAGAATCATTGGGAACTGAATGTAAAGCATTGAGGAGTCATGGTTGGGATTTGCAGGCGCTTTTAGGGCTGCAGAAGGAGTGTGAAAGAAGAAACATGCTACTTGGAATCATTGCTATTCAGAACTGCTTTGAGCACAACAAGGCCATCAAGAAATCATTGATAACCCACTTCAGTAGCAGAGATGAGAACTGAGCTTACTGGCAAGGGAAGCAGTACCTCTAAAAAGATGCAACAGAAGGGAAAAGGAAGGAGCAAAAAACTTCTTGCCTGTCCTTGAGAGTTGAGAGGAAAAAATGTAATTGATCAACTCAAAAGTAACCAACCACCATAATATGTAATGACATGAAAAATGAGAATCTGGAGTGATACCAAGGCTAAGTGTTCTGCTAGCCTTCTCTTCTCAGTAGTTGTTAGTAGTTTCTTAGGAGGAGCTGTGCTTTGAGTAAGCATTTTTGCCTCTGGATTTCGTGGGTGAATGCTTTACTCTATATAAACTGTTGGACTACTTGAAGACTGTATTTTGCTGCATTGTAAAAAAAGAGGAGAATGAATGCTCTTTTTAGTGATCAGTAAGGAGTCTGATAATGGTTTGGTGACATTGCCATTGAATAAGTAGTTTTCTGGAAGAACTTACCAGTTTCCTGTCCTGCGGAAGATCCTCTTAGGTATACTTTTAATTTATTTCTAGTTCTAGATGATATTTGGGCTTCTGAAGAAAAGGGCAAAAAAGTTGAATCTTCTTAAATAATGAAAGCAGAGAAAAAAATCTTTGGGGTATTTCTGCTGTAAAAGCATGGCAATATGGTGCTGAGAGGGTGTTTACCAGCCAAATGACCAGAGGGCAAGAAATGCAGGAAAAAAATGGGAAGGCTGGACGTGAAGGACGTGCAAAAGAGCTAAGTGTCTGGATTGCATGGGATTTGATGAATGCTATTTTAGCTGTCACTCTGTTGCCATTGCAAATGAAGCTGAGCTCTGCTGGATCAGCCAGCAAAATGAATTTGATAGGTGTCAGATGTAGGCACGTGGTTATATCTGAGCACGTTGCAGAGTTTATTCTGGCTTTGTACTGACTATGGAAGGAGAGATGATACCTGATCTGGCATTAAAACTTGTTGGCATAAAGTTAACCCATTGTAACTTTGAACAAATTTAATTTGTCATGGCAAGGGGAGGTGGTGGTGTGCTGGAACAGGTTCAGTTCAGCATATTTTGTATCTGGCCTTAGGAATCCCAGAGACTTGCAATGACACCTGGTGAGTGTCAGATGTAAGTTTCCCTAGTGTTTGGCTTAAATGATTGTTTCAGGATTTCATGTTCAGTGGGTATTTACTTCAGTTAATACCCTGATGGAGCTTGTCATATGTTTTGTGTAGTAAGAGTTAAGAAATCCCATCTGAAACTTTTTTTTGCTTAAGTTTCTGGAAGGGTGCTGGCACAGCTATATACAGAAAAATACAACTGTAATGAGAACTACCCATAATAATTGGTTGAATTACTCATAAGTCGTCCTAATAGTCCTATTCCTTTCTCAAGAATCTTGCTAAGAAAAGATTGATGTGGGAGCCTCCCCAAAAAGCTCACCAGATGCCAGTTTCCTGGATCAAGGAAGGGACAGTCTGTAGCTGAATCCCATTGCTCTTACAGCACTTACAGATCAAAGCTGCCTTCTGTTTCTCAAGCTAGGCAGCTGTCTCACAGTGGTTGCAGGTGTAATGCCCTCTCAGTATTAAGTACTGTTTAGTGAGTAATTCTTGACTTCATTTTCTGGGTGAATCCAAAATTATAGCTGTCTGTGGAACGTGTCACTCCCATGGTCTGGAATTGCTCCATTTAATCTTGATGTCCTGGATAACAGAAGCAAGAGAGAGAGGGAAAGGAATTTTCCCTGTAATGCTGTGAGCAGATACGGAGGAAATGGACTAAAAGTCCACTGATAGTAGCAGTTATTTAAGATCCAATAAAACCCACCGGTGTTGCAAACTTAGGCCTGATGGGGGAGAGAGACAAAGCTGCACGTTTTAGCATGTTGAAGGCACTAAAATTCCAGGCTGCTCATTAACACTGCTGGTTGTTCACCACTTTGGTATGGTATCAGGGAACCAGCAGAATGCAATTTTAATTACCCAAGCTGTTTTTTGGGGTATTTTGAAAAAAGATAGCCACTGAAGAAGAATTATGTTGGGGTTTGAAAGGCATATTAACAGTTGTTTGTGGTTTGTACTATAAAGACATATAAAAGATCTAAGTTTATCTGAATAAAGGCAAATAGGCAAACTTTGCCTGTATTCACAGCAAGGCCCAAGAGTTTGCTTGTTCCCCCTACGCTTGTCCATAATGTAATGTATTTTGTAGAAATGAGAAGTGTATATGCACCACATGTACTGTATTTCGGTAGGATTTTGCATAGAAAAGCTAAAAAAAAAAAAAAAAAAAAAAAGGTCATACAGGAAAGTGCTGGTCACTGAAATACCTGAAGTTCGATCATGAGTATTATGAGGATGATGAGACACAGTAAGTGCTGTTGGGATTCCAACAAAAGGTAGAAAGAGGGATTTCACATTTGCTCAGAGGATAATCGTGATACTTTTAAAAGGCAAATTAGAGACAAGAATCCCAGGTGAGAGTGTATCTTAGTATCACAGTTGCAAGGTATAGTATGTGTCATAGCAGGATTGCCAGGTGTTATGTTAGAAGAGATTTGTTCAGACAGGCCTTAGAAACCTTTTTGGAATTTTTCCAGAGACTGTTAACTGTACCAAGTGCACAAGCTTTAACTTGTGCTCATTCATCTATATACCCAAAGTACCTTTTAAGTAATAGGACCTAAGATTTTTATTGTTTTAATGTGTACACTTCAGATCTCTTAAGTATATGAAGGGAGGTCTGGGGGTCTATAGCGCTGCAGCGCTGTGATGTAAAGCTGTGACTGCAGGTTCCAGCATCATGATCTGAGGAAAAGCAGGTTTTATCAAGATGAAGTCTCACATGTTGGGACCGGTAGTTTCTGTGGAACAGGACTCCAGATTAAAGACAAAGACAGCTGCAATTATTTCATTTCTTGAAAATTAGGAATGTCCCTAGGGCTTTTAACAAGTCATCACTGTAACGGCTCCCATAGTACTGTGCCAGACTTACCTCAACAGTAATATGTTTGTTTAATATGTGATCACTGCTTTTCCTCAATAAAGTGGTCTTTCCAATAATAGAAATAGGTTTCTGTGTATTTTTCATGTTACCTACTGCACCACAGGGATGAATTGTTTCGACAGAGCCTGGCTAAACTTCGGGAACAGATAGTAAAGGCAAATACACTGGTGAGAGAAGCAAACTTCTTAGCAGAAGAAATGAGTAAGCTAACAGATTATCAAGTAACACTTCAAATCCCTGCTGAAAACCTCAGTGCCAACAAAAAGGTAATGACACTAAAGAAAGCTGGAAAATACAGTTTTATGGCTAATCTAAAATATGTATACATATATAGCATTCATCTAACTCGAGGCCATAAAATGGTACTTTTGTTAGATTATGCACAGGCAAAATATGGGTGCTACCTGACTTAAAATTATTCACTTTCAATGTATTAGAGTAAAAATGGGAACATAGCATCAAGTATGGCTCTTGCTGTTCTTTCAAGTATATGATCACCATATGTGCATGTGGTTTGTGAACAGACATTTGCATTCTATTGCTGTAAAACCTGCATTTTAGTTACCTTTGCAAAAATTACTGGGCTTTGTTATAGATGCCTACAATTTTTTTGTCTTAAGGGTTTTCTAGTTGTAGTGCTGCTGTAAATACAATAATAGCAATTAGGATAATATGCTTGTCATAAGTGATCTGACTGAGAGTGTTAATGTTCCTGTGTTGAATGGTAGTTGTCTGAGAAGGACAGAGAGGTCTGGATCCTCAGAGATGTATAGGGCATGCTGTGTTTGAGGACAGAGATAGTATGGCTGGCATGCAGAGAGAAGCTGTATGTTCTGTATTTTATTCCTTTTTAGGAATGCACTTTGAGTGAAGAGTTAAACTACTTACATGCACCTTCCCTGCAGTGATTATTTTTTCCTCTGATTTAGAGGGGTGCAATAGTAAGTGAGCCTGCTATTCAAGTGAGAAGAAAAGGAAAAGGTACTCAAGTGTGGACTATTGAGAAACTAGAGAACAAATTGATTGACATGAGAGACCTCTATCAAGAATGGAAGGAGAAAATTCCTGAGGTATTGTGTGTATTTTCTGAAAGATCAGACATTGAGTTTGTTCTTTTAACCCCTTTTAATATGTTGTACAGATGAAGTGCAATGACTTTGTATATGAAAGGATATCGTATTGTGTTTTTTAAAAAAAAAAAAAACCCACTGCCCCCCAAAACCTCAACCCCAAAAACCAAACTATGAATAATACTAAATATTCAAAATGTCCATGCATAATAAAACACAGCTATGTCTGTCCTCGCTTGCAATCTCAGATATAAGTGTGCTGAGGTCAGATATAATTGTGCTGAGGTAGTGACTCATGATACCACTCAGAGTTTACCTGGCATATATAGGTACCAGCTCTGAATGGAAGCAGCAAGCTGCATTAGAAATAAAATGGTTAAATTGCAGTCAGTATCAAAGCTGGCAAGGATGCCGCTTAGATACACTCAAGGTGCTGAACGTTTTAGTGGAGTAGAACTTGATCTTAAAATGTGAAATATTTTGTAATTTCATCTGTATATCCCCCAGCCTTAAAGCAGTGAAGAATTCAATTGAAGATACTTAGTCTACATCAGTATCTCCCTCAAAACTAACTGGTGTTTCCTGAGAATTTTAGTAGTACGTTAGCCTTGGCAAATAAGCATGAGACTTGTCAAAAGCTTGCTTGTTTTCTGGCAGGAGATAGACATGAGATTTGGTGTTCCAGAAAATGCCCTCTAAGTATCCAGGTGGAAGTGCATAGGAAGTATATCTTGCTGTCTTGTGGCTGATAGGGAGCACCTAAATTACTTGCATCAAGAATCATTCTCAAATATGTTTGAACAGCTGTTGTGCCTTTGTTAAATGCCTTGGATGGGACAATGGCAATCTCTAAAATCATAACACAGGGGAGGTCAAGCACTTCATCTGTGCCCATTGAAGACAACGATGATTTTGCTGCTGACTTTACTAAGAACTGATAGCACATCCTTTGAACGTATTATGTCTACCTGAGCCAGGATCACCCTTGCCATGACCTATATCATCCATAATGCATGTGTTCTATGTACTACCTAAAAACACACAGGTTGAATGCATGTGTCGAAGATGGAGGAGGAGGAGAAGGGAAGGAGCTAACAGATCCACTGAGGAGTGCATGTCGTGCTAGGAATCTGCATGAATTCTTTGTGGCTGCGTATGGTGTACTCACATAGAAAATGCTGCAGATATGATCTGGGCTCTATAGGAGTCATAAGAACATGTGTAGGCTTAAGTGGGAGTTGTTCTGCACCTTCCCTTTGCCCTTGTAGTGGTATCCAGCAGCCAGACCAGCTATTGAACCTGATGATGATTTGTCCTCTCGTCTAAAAAGTGTAAACGGAGCAGAAAAGGTGAAACTTCCTGAAATCAATGGCTACTGTGCTTGCTCTTGGTAAAATCTGCTTTGTCTTGACATCGTGAAAAAATGTAGGTCATCATATTACTATATCCCATAGTAATGAAAGGATTGTATAATGTCTTATCTCAAAGATTGCATTTCAAATTTGTGATAGGCTTCTAGTCTCTTTCTACTTATGTAACAGGAAGGAACAGAAAAGATGGGCAGTGACTTAATTTTTGTACCATGATCCCATACTATGTGGTTATTTGATTTTTGTCTTCCCACGCTTACAGTTTTTGACATACCTTTTGTGATCTTTAAAACAGGTAAGGAAGCTCATTGGCAGAAGAGGCGATCCTTTTTATGAAGCGCAAGAGAATCACAATTTAATTGGCGTCGCAAACGTGTTTTTGGAGTGCCTTTTCTATGATGTTAAGCTGCAGTACGCTGTGCCCATCATCAGCCAGCAGGGGGAGGTAAATCCAAATACTGCCCTAATGTATAACGGGCTGGGCACACCTATACACTCATACCTACGGGGCTAACATGGCTTTTTGCCGGGAGACTTAATGTACACTCAATTTTCAACAAGCGAATGATGCTTAGTGTCTTGCTTCCCCAGTGAATAAGCGCTTTGCAAATTGCTATGTATGTTTTCTGTTTAATTGTTTACAGTTTCCCAGCTACTAAAATAGTAGCTGGGCAATTTCTAGTGTCTGTAGGTAACTGGACAAAACCCAGCATACTAAGGTTTTGATGTACAGTCATGACACTCTATGCCTTTTCTGTTGTGTGTGAATTAAAAAGGTCAGTAGTTCTGCATGCAAATAATTATTTTTTTATTTTTCCTCTTTTTTTGACATTGTTGCTTTTCATTTGGTGGTTGAGAGCTGTTCAGTTCTGTTTCTGCACACCTCCTAGAGTTAGATATTTACCATCTTAATGTCTTTAAGTCCCTTGTGCACAGGTCCTTAGTATTTCTCTTGCCTTAGGTTGCAGGACGGTTGCATGTTGAAGTAATGCGAGTCACTGGGTCTGTCCCAGAACGTGTAGTAGAAGGAGATGACTCATCTGAGAACTCCAGTGAGAGTGGGAGTCTGGAAGTCATGGATAACAATGGAGAAATTATTCATAGAGCAAAAAAGCTGTCCTGCAGGGTAAGTGAGAACACAGGATGAAGTTAACAGTTTCAGGCCTTCGTAACTATGTAGTCGGTCTGATGTAAAGTACTAAGCTGTGTAGGTTATTGCTTGCTTAAAGTTCTCTAAAGAGAAGAGAGGCTTTTCTTGTTCTGGTTCAGCGTAGGTCAGTCTGGCTGTGGTTGCCTGTGACTGGGAATAAATTTGCATTAGTTTCTAGTATATGCCAGTCTGTCATAAATACTGACATTACAAGGGCTGTCCTTCTTGGCAGACACAGACGGGGAAACGGTTTTTCTGTGTAACCACTTCCTGTGGTTTGTTTGATCATACAATGTAGAATCTATGGGTGGTGTCTGGATTTCATTTCTTCTGTGATGGAAGTGCCTTATTGTCCACTTGAACTTATCAGCTTCCTCAAACAAAACATGCACATGGGTGGGTAGTTAGATGCGTGTAACTGCTTTCCTTGCATTTGCAATTCTGTGTATGCAAAATATAAATTTCCGAAATAGAGACATCCTTAGAAAGCAATTGGAGGTGTCCTTTAAAAATTCTTCTTGGCTGTTGGTACTTTTGGATTAAAAATTTAGGTTTTGTACAATTTACAATTGAAGAAGAAACAATCATATTTATGAGAACATCTGTCTTGTCTCCTCAGGTAAAAATAAAAGAAGCAACTGGACTGCCACCTAATCTCTCCAACTTTGTCTTTTGTCAATATACATTTTGGGATCAATGCGAATCAATAGCGGCACCAGTGGTAGATCCAGATGTGCCTTCACCTCAGAGCAAGGATGCTCATTTTACAGTGACCTTCTCTCACTGTAAGGTAACTATTTTTATTATGAAATAGTGTTACCAGGAGGATGGTATGTTTGAGATAAGCAATTTAGGATTTGAGCCTAGTTTTGCTGGGGGAAGAAGGAGGGAATCAAGTCATATAACTAATGACTTTTGACTATACTTTAGAATGCCATAATATTTCACCTCATTACTGCTTCAAAATGCAGCAAAATGAAAAAATCTTTTAATTATTGGTCTTTTCAGATGTCATCTTTAAGTTGCTGAGTTTACCAAATGAGTATGTAATAAGATGTCATTAAACTATAGTTTTCATTGTATAAAGATTATTGGAGCTGTGACATCATTTTAATGGAAATTTTCAAAGCATGAAATGCAGTATGCAGAAGCAGGAATTGCTGAGATTGCGTGTTTCACAACTTTCTTGACCAGAGTGGAGCTTTATGATCCAAACTGTATGGTTTTACCATGCAAGTGGTTAGTTTGTTGTGTCCTTACAAACTAGTTGAGATACAATTATTTCATTTGATTGGATGCAATTCGTTTTTCTCATTGTCAGGACTACATGGTGAACGTCACAGAGGAGTTTTTGGAGTTCATTTCAGAAGGAGCTCTTGCTATTGAGGTGTGGGGTCACAGATGTAGTGGCAATGGCAGTTCTGTTTGGGAAGTTGATTCTCTTCATGCTAAAACTAGGACACTGAGAGACAGGTACAGATAATAAATTACTCATGAATGATTCCATCAACTTTCCAAAGGCTTTCTAATATTTGCGGTGCACGAAATATACTTTGAGGCAAACATTAGTTTTTGTGGGGATGTCTTTTTAGGTGGAATGAAGTAACTCGAAGAATAGAAATGTGGATTTCCATACAAGAATTGAATGAGATGGGAGAATATACTGCAGTTGAACTCCATCAGGCAAAAGATGTAAACACAGGGGGGATTTTCCAGCTTAGGCAGGTACGTATCTTTTTCCTGTCATCTTATCCGTGCCTAAATTGATTCTTAATTTTATTCTTAGTTTTTCTCTGTTTTTTCTCTTGCCCTCTCTTTCTTTCTTTCTATCTCTCAATTACCTGTTCAGGGTCATTCTCGCAGAGTTCAGGTGACAGTGAAACCTGTACAACACTCGGGAACATTGCCTCTCATGGTAGAAGCAATTCTTTCAGTCTCTGTAGGTGGTGTGACTGCCAGATCAACCAAACTACAAAGGGGCTTGGACAGCTACCAGGTAAGATGGTTACTTTTTCATGTGTGGATTTACACTTTTTTTTTTGGTTGGTTGGTTTTTGCTGTTCTAGAGCCAGCCCACCATAGTTCCATAAGGAACCTTAGCACACTGATACATGATATGTAATTTTGCAGTTTTACATGTGTTTGAGGCCAATATGTATAATGTGAGCATATGCTGCTAAATTGGGGGGGGAGGGGTGTTGGGGTTTTTTTTCTTTTTTTTGCTTATAACTTGGTACATAACTGATAAAGAGCCAAGTGTGGTAGTTGAGTTTACATAAGACAGCAGCAATATTGAAATTGGTTTTACCTTTGCGTGTAGAAGTGATTAATAGTAGATTCCTAGATCCATTAATTTCCTTCCCTAACAAGGATGGCAAAAGTCAAGGAGAGGAAAAGCAGGAAAAAAAAAAATAGAGAAAATGTCTTATAATGAGGCAACTGTCTATTTTTTCAAAAAGGACTGAGCTGTTACTTGATCAGAATTGGAAATAGCCATCACTATTTCATTTAGCAGAAAAATTCTTAAGAAGTATAAATGGCTTCAAGCTGATACTGGACAAATTCATATTGGAAATAAAGCATGCTTTTAACAGCAATGGCAAAGAACAAGCGGAACGGGCTACCTAAGGAAGCGAGGTGCATTCAGAACCACAAGTAATTACAGCCTTAAATACAGACGAAACTGTAAAACATGAAGATGGGTGATATGCTTGCTCAGTCCTTTTTCTGGCACTGTATTCTATCATAATATTTTTGTAAATATATTCACTAATTCTCAAATCACGGTTGAGATGCTATAGTCTGTAATGAAAAGAATCTGTTTCTACCTGTTAATAAGACTTTGGTTATTTGAATGCTGTAATTTTAACATCATATAAGTTTGTGGCAGAAATGTTTGTATTCATGTTTTGGGGTATTTCTGTGAGTTTTTCTGTTGAGAGAAATGCATGTTCTTTTGTGTTTTACAAAATTTATTTTCTCCTACCAGAAGGAGGAGGATGATGGTGGTGATATGGATAGTTACCAGGTATTGCTGCTGTTGCTGTCAATCCTGTGGCATGGGGCACAGCTAATGCTAATAGCCAGCAACTTTCAAATGAACAAATGTACTGGAGCAAGCAAAACCGGCTTTGAAATATATATATGCTGTGCATTTAAGAGGCTACCTGGGCTATAAAACACTGCTATTTCCATTTATCTTGTGACTTTATACTTTTGCAGTGTGCTCTCTTCTCTAGTACTCCGCAGTCAGCTCTCCTAACTGGCTACATGAATTGCGATATGAATAAAAGCCTTTAATTTTGAATGAAAACAGTTCCCAATGTGTATCATAGAATAAAGAACGACCACCTGCAGTTGCAGGCATCTTTCCCGACCAAATTATACAGCATAGGGGTTTTTGTTTGTTTTCTAAAGAAAACATTGTAACCTTTTTAGTTGTGCAGTTTTCTGAAATGCTAGTGGGGGAGAGACGGGAGGGTGTGAGTGGGGGGAATATGGAAGCTTCAGTGAAGCTCTTTCTATCTGCACAGAAAAAAACCTTGAGCTTGGCTTTTTGTCTGATAAGTAAATACAGGACAGTCACAGTTTAGAAAGCATAACAGAAGAATCATTTACAAGGCAATGAAGGGCAAAAGAGGAAATGCCTAAAAAGTAAAACACATTGCACATGTCTACATGGAAGACTTATTTCTAGTAGGCAGCTTTACAGAAGTAAAATCCAGTTAGTTGAGAATGCTGACATCCCTTGAGATGATGTATTAGGTTTTACAGAAATGTCAAAAATACCAGTTAGGTACTAACTTCTTGCGGGCTGTTTGTGCGCTTCCTGACATCACAGAGAAGAATGAACCAGATTTTCTGTGATACCACAAAGCATGATTGCATGACGGGATTTGTTTGCATGAGAAATCTTCTAATTGCACTTATGGCAGCTGCTAGCAATGGAATTTTGTGCAGGTTTGAGGGCATACTGACCTGTCTAATCTTCAGGAGAACTTACGATCAACTGATGATACCTGTTTTTCCTATTCCATATGCTGTTAAAAAGTTTGATTGCTACTTCTGTGAGTAATTAGCCTATGGTGTATAATTCTGTTCAGCAACTGAGGTAGTCACGTTTTCTTTTCCTCCTGTTGGAATTTGAGACTTGAAAGCAATAAGCTTCCATTCATGGGTGATGAGGTACTTAATCAGTGTGCATGTCATTTGGGGAAAAAAGTTTTCTGCATCATGCAAGCTGTTTAATACCAATTCTGATGAAATTATCACAAAATTCACCGCCCTTTAATTTTAACCGCATAACCTCATAACTTGTTTTTTCTTTTTCCGTGTTAGGAAGAAGATTTAAACTGTGTGCGAGAAAGGTGGTCTGATGCATTGATAAAACGCAGAGAATACTTGGATGAGCAGATTCAAAAGATCAGCAATAAACAAGGTTTGAAGCTTAAAGTCCCTGTCGTAAGTACTTTATTCCCTATACCACAGCGAATGTATCTCATATATAATATTAATCTCTTTCACTGTAGAAAAATCTGAGGATGATATAGAACGAGAAGCCCGGCTGGTTGAGCAATGGGTAGGGCTGACAGAAGAGAGGAATGCAGTGTTTGTTCCAGCACCAGGCAGCGGAATTCCCGGTGCCCCTGCAAATTGGTACGTTCAGAAAAAACATTGGGGTGGTTAGCTTTTTCTACATGAATGTTGCATGCTACAAAGTAAAAATCTGAAGATGTTTTAGAGCTTTCTACATTTTCCTGTAATGCTACCGATTACATTCAGCTGGCAGAGGGCTAGAAAGTCAGATGCTGGTTTGAATGTAAGAAAGGTTTACTTAGTTAACAAATTACATAAAGTAGCTTTGAGATAGCTTTCAAGGTCTGAAAATCACTTTTGAATTTAAGATAGTATTTTAGACTTGTCTGAGAGAGTTAACCTGTAGTTTGACTCCTTTTAAAAAAGGAGTGATTCAAGAATGAATGGTAGAACACATTATAATTTTATTAAAAAGGAGTAGGGAGGGAAAAAATTCATTTCATTTCATTTAAATTTGTGTTTTAGCTAAGATAATTGGAACTGATGTGCAAAGATGAGGAATGCAACGTGTTAGATTTGGGAACGTGTGGACAAGAAATATGGCTCTAATCAAGTGTACGCTAATGTCTGTGATAATACCCAATATCTTCATTGGGTGAATGATGTAGTGATAATCTTTCCTTGTCATTTTTTTCCCTTATCCGCCTGAAGCATGCTGTGCTCGTACAGCAAAAAGTGTATTTATTGATACAAAGACTATGCCTTGCCAGTAGTTATGTATCTAGTTGTTTGAAAGGTTGCTAACCTTTATGTATGCAATAACTACAACCAGTTATCTTCCTAAGATACAGAACAGGATGTTTAAAACTGTCATCCTCACAGCAACAGAAATGTGCTGTGCGGTGTGAATTAAGTTTTGGTCAAGCACTACATCTAGCTGCATGTGTAGATAAACAAAATATTGTCTGTGCAACATAGATATTCAAATTAACCATCAAAATGTTGACAGCCTTAGTCATTGGTTGCAGTTAATATGAATCTTGCATAGAGATCTGTTTACCCAAATTATCTTAGATATGAATTTGCCTGTTGACAGCAGTTTGTTTTGTTTCAGGATTCCACCTGCAGGAATGGAAACTCATATACCTGTCCTCTTCCTTGATTTGAATGGTATGTTGTAACAGCAGATTAGGAAACTTGGGTGGCAGGGATTAGTTTGGATCAATAAATTGATAAATGGAAGAATTAATTTGAAATGCCGAAGAAATCAAGCAAGCTCTGGCAATGGCACTGTCTGATATGGCTTGTGAAATGGTTTTTTTTCTGATTCTGTATGTTGGAATAATTAAGCACAACTATTTTAAAATAAAGGTAAAAATCAGGGAACATACAAGTACAGGGATAGGCTGTACAACAGAAAATGGCATAAGAGAGCAATCTTAGCTTAAATTGGACAGCGGATAAGAAAATCCTGTATATGTTTTGATGTACAAATTCACATATCTTAAAAGCACTGATGGAGAATCTCCCAATGCTTCCAGACCTTCTTCCACTGAGGTATGTGTAGAGTTTTAAACTGCTGGTTTAATGAAGAGCATGTTAGGACTACAATGAGTGTTTTGTTAGAGAAATCTGTATGTTCTCTCTTGAAGGTGTTTCATTTTACATGCAAGATGACTATTAGTATATATACTCTTAGGACATAGATAGTAACCCATAAGCAACAAGAGACTAGAGTTAGCACTACATTTAAGGACTATTTAGGAAGCAAATCTGTAAGTATAAACTTGGACATAAAGCAGAGGAGAATCCACAGGCTTTGTCACATCCAGCACTTCAGTGGGCTACTAGACATGTTTATGTAGGCAACACATTAATACCTGCTTTAGAAGCTCCTTTTGGAAAATTATATACATGCTTTCCTTCATCTATGCTCACAAAAAATGTTATCATTTGTTTTTTCATTATCAGCAGAGATTAGCAGACAGAAGACCAAACAGGATATTTAAACAGATTGATGGATTATTGCACAACTTTTTTTTGTTTAGCTAAAAGCCTAGTGTAGCCAGAACTGCTATTCTCAATTTAAAGATTCCCTGATACATCAGAAGTGATTTAACTAAGAGATGAGCCAGTTAGACTGACAGGTAGATAAATCAGATTTTTTCTGGCTGGGTAAATTAATGTTATGAATACCTAGAAAGAGTTTTCAATTTTGTTTGGGTTTCATGAGAATGTGTTCAGGCTGAGTCTTAGCCTGGGTTTACTTCCTTTCTTTTGTATGCTGAAATCGTCTTCAAAATTATGCATAGTAATAAGATTAATGGGGATTAAATGTATAATGAAATATGGGCAGGACTTTATTACAACTTTGTATTACAACTTTGCCTCTATATATTAATATCCTTTGGTATAAAACTATTTCATTCTTTGCACATTTGTTTCATTAGCTGATGACCTCAGTGCCAATGAACAACTTATAGGTCCCCATGCATCAGGAGTTAACTCAATACTACCAAAGGAGCATGGGAGTCCATTCTTTTATCTGCCGATCATAAAACACAGTGACGATGAGGTAAATTGTTAGCAAGCCTCCTTCTTGACAACTGCAGCTTATGTTAAAACTTTCTTCTTATATTTTGTTTTCTACTTGTATGTATTTAATCATTATGATTATCTTTCTGTCTTAGAAGTACCATCTGTATCTGGTGCAGCCTTCATTTTCTGCCCTATTTATTTAGAATTTAAGAGGATATGACTTGTTAGCTCTTCTGCCTTAATTCAGAGGTGACAAGTCTTAGCTCTTCTTGGCAAAAGACTAATTCAGCTGCCTGACTCAAAATCCCTTTTTCTTCTTTCCTCACCCCTTCATCATTCCTCTTGCAGGCTCTTGATTCTTCAGAAAAAACTGCTTCATTTATTGTGCACACTAGGCAAAGCTTTATATTTAAATAAAACCCTTTTCTTTATAGTACACAATTGCTTTTTTAAATATAAAGTTTGGGAATCGTTGGAGAAGAATGGTTCTGAATCTGTTTTGGAACTTCTTAACTTATTTCTTCCACATTCTGTGCCAACTCAGGCCATTGCTTCAGAGACCATTTCCAGAATACATGGGGTGCCTGAGTTGGGGAGGAGGCAGGGGGAAGGAAAAAGATGTTCTGCAGGATGGGAGTATGTTTATTCTGTATGGGCTGTTATAACCTAAGTCAATGCAGGTGGAAGATTTGACATTGCAACTGTATTAAAAGTTTATTAAATTCAATAGGATTTTTATTCCTTCCTCCAGTCTTGCTTCTGCTTTCCTTTCTGTCTTCAGCTGTGTGAAGACTTCCTTTTGGGGCAGGGTTTGCACAGTGCAGGGATTGTGCTCACAATTGTATTCCCTAATATCTTGACACTCTTATGCTGCTTCTGATAAATTCCTTGCTATGAAAAGGAGGTTTGACTCCACTTTGTGCAATGATGCTTATTTTTCTTTCATTAAAGAATTGTTTCACATCATGTTAAGTCATTATAAATTATACCAGTTGTTAGAGTAATTGAATCTTTGATTTCTCTTTCTTTCCTCCGTTTCATTTGTCTGCATAGGTTTCAGCCACTGCTGCTTGGGACTCTTCTGTCCATGATTCAGTGCACCTGAACAGGGTGACTCCTCCAAATGAGAGAATTTACTTAATAGTGAAGACTACTGTGCAGCTCAGCCATCCTGCTGCAATGGAACTGGTATTACGCAAAAGGATTGCAGCCAATATTTATAACAAGCAGGTAATAAGTTTTTGGAGTTTTTTGTTACTGATTTTCTTTCATATCCTTAATTTTATGAATGTGTCTACTTAGCTGCTTGCTTCATTTTGTGTAAGTTTGGTCTCTTCAATTATTAGGAAAGACAAATGAAAAACAGATTATTATAGGTTGCAGTGAAGCTGTGCACTTCTGGTATAGTGCTTTGAAGTGTCTATTTTTCAGCCTGATTTGGTTCAGAGTGTAACGGGTGTTACTTTTGTAACAAAAAAGAAGTTTACCTTCCTGTCTATACAATTTGAAATGTTCTTTGATTTAGAGAAGCTTGCAGTAGCTTATCTAATACAGGGTCACTATAGCCACTCTATTCCTGAAAGCATCTTTGGGGCCTTCAAATGTTCAGTCTAAACACAATAGATCTTTTTTCTTTCTCTTTGCTGCTTTCTCTGTTAATTACAGACTAGGCTTGTTTCCCACTGCTACCCAAATGTATACATCTCTACCCCCATTTAACACAATGATTTTGGATAGGGTGTTTTCTTTGGCCGCAACAGTGGTTGCTGTTCCCCTTGCTTTGCTGCTTCGTGGGTTTAGACAATGAGGTGCTCTCTGAAATCACACTCCTTTGTTTCCCAGATGATTGAGACCAAAGGTGATTTCAGAATTGCTTCAGATCTTGCCGCACAGTGGGGGGGGGGGGGAGCACAAAACAGCCCTCGTACTTCTAGGCAACTTGCTAAGCAGCTGGATCCCCTGCCTTTTTGCATTTGGCGTATTGTCCTTTGCTAGTTTCATTTGTCTAAAATCCCTTATTAGATGAAAGTTACGTTGGCAGTTAGTGATGTACAGGCTACCTGACAATGAAGCATGCTAAACTCATGATTACAACAGTGAGAACTTTGGTTAGCGTTTCCGTTATGGCTAGAAAGCAGAGTTATGCTTTGCTATTGCAAAAGGAATTTTCTGTCTGTTTAACAGGTGGCTGACAAAATGAGAAAAGTTGGTGTCTCTAATATACAGACTTATTAACAGCCACAGTTTCTCAGTTACAAGTTAATACACAACGATAGAGCATCAGTACAAATTCGGAGGAGAATGTTTTTGGTTGAACTTAGTAGCATTGTTTACTGAGCACAGGGGTGTAAAGGTTACTTAAAGGATCATTGATGCTAAAAAGGAACGTATTGAATTATGGTCCTGAAAAATATGCTTTTGTGGTAAAATACATTTTTGCATTGCGACCTTTTATCTCTTAGAATGTCACAAATAATTATTGTCAAAATGATAATTGAAAATTACTTTGTTTCTAGAGTTTTACCCAGAGCCTGAAAAGGAGAATATCCTTGAAAAATATATACTATGCCTGTGGAGTGACCTATGAAATAGTATCCAATATACCAAAGGTAAATTATACCATATTTCTCTGGTAAATTCACTGAAAGGAACAGAATTACCTACTGTAGTGGGTGATACTGATTGGGAAGTAAATGTTCTGCTTTACTAATGGGGGCGGCTTGCCAAAGTGTATATTCTGAAGTTCAGTGGTGAGATCGTGTTTATCTTTAAAAAGTTGAAAACTGGGAATTTTATTTTCTCTTCTACTGTGTTTAGCTGAGTTCTTGTAGTAAAGCTATTTTTGAAATTGTATTAGTGTCTACAGAGAGAATATAGAAGGTAGTTAGAGGGATGTTCAGGTCAGTGAAAACATAATAGCTGGGAAAATGAATTCACAGGAATATAAATTGCTTTTTATAGAAAAAGCTTGTACAAATTATAAATGTAGTATAAAATTTATTTTAAATATAAACAAACTGGACAAATGAAAATAATAGTGTTGTTGCCATTTAATTGTCACTTTTGTGTAGTAGTACTTAAATTTTGAACTCTAGGGAAATCACACAGAATATCTAAGATCTGGGAAGTAAGTTGCATTTACTCGCCTAGGAAGTTGGCATTAGTTAATCCTTAACATATGCAATTTTCAGTTATATATGCATTATTCCCGGAAGTACATTGACCACAATAAATGTGCAAAACTTGTCCCAAGCATGACTTCTTAGTTCAACATAATTTACATCTGTCCTGGATCATTGATTATAATTAGGATTCTTATATATTATAAATAGGATTACTGATTAAGTTAAGGATTATCAATTTAAATTAATTTCTGGATTGAGATGGTCTAAATAGGCAAATCAATATATTAAAACCAATATGCTTTAATTTTTAAAAACCTCAATAGTGTAACTTGTAATTTAGGCTACAGAAGAAATTGAGGATCGCGAGACCTTAGCGCTGATGGCTGCAAGGAGTGAGAATGAGGGCACATCTGATGGCGAAACGTACATTGAAAAATACACACGTGGTGTGCTGCAAGTGGAGAACATTTTGAGCCTTGAACGACTAAGACAGGCAAGGAAAAGGCACTTCTTGCACCTTATGAACTGGATTATGAGAATTCAAGTAGAGATGATTGATCTCTTAAAAACTTGAGGTGTTGCTTGGTTTTTAGTTCGGGGAAGGTTTTTTTTAGAGAACATTGGATGGATAAATATAAGACTAAGTTACTTCTGTGAAATACAGAATTCCAGCACTGGTGGTTTTAGTAAGTGTAGCTGGCAATGTTGTAGTAGTACTCGGAACCTAAACAGGCAAAAGCCAAAGAATGAATTTCAGAAGCAAACTTTGGTGGTTGTGTGTGCAAATTCAGTTTGCAAAGGCAAGCCCTGTTTGCTGTTGTTAGCCACACTGAAAAAGGTCTGATCCTGCTTGATCATTTCTCATGAGGAGACCATGGCATTGTCCATCTTTGATACGAGCACTTTTTTTAGTGTCCATTTCTTTATGCAGGCAGTCACAGTCAAAGAGGCACTCTCCACCAAAGCGAGAAACATCCGCAGGAGCATCAGCACTCCAAATGTCCACAATGTAAGGACCCTTTATCCTCTGGTAAATTAGTACTAATTGGGCAGGAGGGTGGTGTCTGTGTGCTGATGTGATACTTCCACAATGTAATCTCATAATAAGTATTCTGAGCTAGGACTAACCAACCTGTAGCAAAGTTGTCATGAATGAAAATGAATCGGTCATTTAATAGAAAACCGTCCCCCACAACTGTCTGATCTGGGAGATGACAATGTTGAGAGGGAAGTGGGAGAGTTGGTCTAAACTCTGACAGTTTTGGAGGTGGTTTAGGATGATGACTGCCCTGATTCAAGTTCCTTTTGCTTCAAAGTCCTTTTAACTTTTTTCTTAGTATAAGGGGTAGTTTCCATTTTGTGTACATTTTATGCGTTCTCCTGCCATCCATTCATACAGAACAAATGTAGCTGTCCTTATAAATAATCTTACCTGAAAAGAGGTAACACAAACATTGTTAGGACTAAATGATCACAATGTCTCTTCAAGGCATTATATTTTATAAATACATGTAGGCATTTTTGTCATTCTGCCTGCTGGTGTTTTGCAGGTGTCCTGTAGCCGACTAGATCTTTCTGCCTGTGATGATGATGATAAGGTATGTAAATGTGAAGTTCAGAAAATGGTAAACAGCACACATTCTCAGATTCATTCCCTCTTCTAAGCAAGATGTATGTAAGAATTGGAGGGGAAAAAAAAGGAAAATGATATTTTCACTGTCTATTTACATAATATATCTACAAAAGGCTGCATTAATGATGTATTATTTTGAATTAAACCTTCCTGTCATTCTCTGCTCTTCATATTAGAATTGTAGAAACTAATATTTAAGGGGAAATTATAGCAAAACTTAATATACTTCACTGAAAAGCTAATTACCTTCTAAATAATCCATCTGCGTGAGACAAAATTGTCTTGAAGTCAGTAACTTGACATTCCTTAGGTTTTTTTAAAAAGAACAAAACCTCTACCTCTGAGTTTACCTATTAATTTTTCCATGTTTGCCTGTATCAGCGTGCACATTTATGTATTTTTGTTTCTTAGGGTTGGTCGGAAAGTCACCTAGATATATCTGACTGTTCTTCCAGTTATCAAGATGTATCATGCTATGGTACTTTACCCAGGGAGTCACCTCGCAAGAGCAAAGATGGCAGTGGTGAGACTTTAAAGTATACACAAAGTATATATAAAGTAATGACAATGTTTGTGGCTTTTTAATTACTGCGTTAAGCTGATAATTAAATTCTTAGTGCTCTTTTCCTATTAAATTCTCAGCACTCTTCTAAATGCGTTATCCAGCTTCTTGCTTCAGCAGCTAAACTTAATCTGGCAATAGGAGAGAAAGGGAGAAGTACATGAAGAAATCTGGGAAAAGATAGGATATTGGAAGTATCCAGCAAAATGAGAGGGAAGGCAGAAAAACAAGCTAAATGTGAATCAGAACAGTACAAGAAAAAAAACAACAAAACCCAACCCACCACCGAAAAGGAGCTGCTTTTAGTTCATTAATTTGAAAATGAAGACGCTTTTGTTAAAGTGGGAAGGGTCCTTTTGAGTTTTTTTCTGTAGGTCAAATTGTAACACACTCTTCTTGAACAGGCAATACAGGCAGGCACATTGCTGCAGTAAGGTGGGACTGAGAGTTTTTTCATTGCTTCCTTGCCTATGATTTCCTTTTTTGATCATCCTGGACATGCAGGATCGCTGGCTTGGTTCCAGGGCAGAATTGCAGCATTGTGGGCAGAGCTCAGGTGAAGCGCAGGAAGCAAAGACCTGTCAATTCCAGTTTCAAGGGCACTTCCTACTGTTTTGGTGACTGAGGTGATAAGGAGAAATACTGGAGCCTCAGAATGGAGAGGGCAGATACTGCTGTTCTCTGCTTTCCTTCTGTTTCCTGACTCGCCAGAGGGACATAGTGCAGAGCTCTATGAGGGAGGATTATCTCATGCTTGGGCCAATGGTTCAATACTGAAATACTAACATTCATTCTGTAGCCATCAACTTGCCAAACGCATGGCTTAACTGTCTGTTATTTTTAATTATGCTTTTGTGGTCAAGATATGAAGAAATGAAATACCATATTTTTTGCTTTTTTCCTAGGTGTTGCATCAGAGAATTCCCATGCTTTAATGGCCAGCCCTTTTAAAGCATTTTCTCCTCAGCCACCAAAGTTTTTCAAACCCTTAATGCCAGTGAAAGAGGAGCATAAAAGGAAGACCCCACTTGAAAGCCGACCTCTGCTTAGTCAAGAGGTAATCTTTGAAAACCACCTTTTTTTTTTTTAATGGAGATCAAGTGATTTTGTGTACTTGGCAAATCATTTGCAGCATGCATCTGATGCAATAGAATTTTGTGATTTTTGGTAAAATTAATCAGGCTATTCCTTATATGAGATGCGATTGTGGTGTTTGATTTTTACCTGACACACTGGGGGGGGGGGGTTGTTTGGCTTTTTTTCACTCTCTGATAAGTATTTTCCTTTATAGGGTACTTCTATTTTAAAGTAACAGTAACTGGGTTTTGGTTTTTTTTTCTTCCAGCAAGATGTTGGTGTGTTTTTTCAAAAATAAATATTAATTCCATGAAACAGTGTTCTAAGGCAGTTACAATTTTGACCTATATTCCTCAACCTAAAACTCTGTTGGGAGGAGAGCATGCCTTTCTCTACCTATTAACTTGAATTCCTGGTGTATATCTGGCCAGCATGGGTGTTCCACTTTCATCGTGTCTTAATGCCTTTCCAGCTTGTACACGTTTAGCGCTCTGGTCAGAGATGTGGTTTGTGTGATGTGTTGTGTGTCTTAACCTTTGCAGAGCATGCCTTCATCTCAGGTGCACTGCGCTGGCTGTGCTGTGCCTCCAGGAAGTAAAGCCAGCCGCGTGCCCCTAGAAAGCAGTAGCGTACGTGAGGAAAAGATTGTAAGTTTTGTACCGGTTTCTGTTATGAGGCCTGGTGGTGGATTTTTAGGGCCATTTGGTGGTGGGCTTAAGGTGCTTATGCTACTGCAGCAGAAAAAAGGTGTCGTGGATATAATCACTTGTGCTTGATTGTAAGTAATCACTGTAACAGTTGCTTACCTGGCTTGCAAATGCAATCTGTTGTTGCAACTAACTCAATTGAGGTTTGAGGTTTTGTTTGGGGGGGTTTGGATTTTATTTTTTTTTTAATATTCATATGTGATTGGTCTTGTGAGGTGGGTGGGAGGGGGGAGGCTTTAGTTTTTACAGGGTAAAAAATATCAAGTAAAGGGTGGTTTGGGGAACCATGTTACTGTCACTCTAACATACCTTGTATGTTACCCAGATGTTGTGACTATACCCCAGAGTAAATGGAATGATCCCATTTGGTGTAAGTAACCATGCATTTAGGTGTGGGTACAGCTTCTCATTGCCTGATTTGGAAATAATATGACTAAAATAAGATTGCCGCTCATAATTAACGTGCAGCCTGTCTTCATCATCATTCAGGCGGTGAATTGAGGTGGAGGGCTTTTTATTTTTCTCTTCACCTGCCAAATCCTTTCTCACTGCTGCTTCATAATTTCTGCTGTATGATGGACTCAGTTTTTGGGCTGTGGAACATGGCTGTAAATACTTGCTTTAATCAGAGCTTTAGATTTAAAATTCAGAACCTTCAGATTATTTCCCGTAAGTATTATAGGCCTGTGTTACCACTAAGTGCTAGTGATCGATTCTTCCTATTCAACAGTCATTTTCATACCTGCCATATAGCCAACTCATTACAAAATCTGTTCTGAATTTCTAATGCTATTTTGTAGGTTGTTAAACTAAGGTATCCTGAGCACTCTGGTGTGTATATTTGAAGCTTGGCTGCTGGTTTTGGATAGCAGCTGTGTTATTCTCAATCATGTTAATTTTCCATAAGGTAGCTGACTCACACTGAGTCACTGATACAAACAGCATGAAGGTATTTGGAAGACATAATCTTCTAATGGGATGAAAAACATCCCTTGGAAACTAAATTGTTATAAATTTTTCCATAGCAACTTCAGGGCAGTTTTAATCCCTTGGGTAAAAACAGTGTCCCACCCCATGCGTGCCCTGAATTAACCCAGGCATTTGTCTGTGCTGTTTTCCAAAGATAAGCAGAAGCTTTCAGAGCTGGAAAAGGGCAACATCCTGCACCAGGCTTTTCCAATTAGAATGGAACTAATTCATTGAATGCTGTAAACCTGCTGTAGCCAACAGGGCCCTGGAAAGAACTGTTCTTTCAGTTCTCAGCTGCCTGCTCCAATCCTTGTGTTGACCTCTCCCTTCCATCAACAGAGCTGTTTAGTTGCATAATAAGTCAGATCAAGGGAACTGATCCATCCAGCTGATGGCTGGACTACCATGGAGTTATGTTTCATTTGGATCTACTCCCCTGTCTTATCAGCCTGTAGACACTTGAGTGGGTACCAGGGTGGAGGGGCAGGCAAGAACTAGCAGCCACTAGTGGGGAGGAGGTTGAGATGGCCGTTTTGTGTAGCCCTGCCAGCTTATGATATCAGGTTTATCAAATGATGGCTTCTGGGGCTTTTTTATCACTTTAGGAAGGAAGCCTTTGTAAGATGTAGGCTTCCCAGACCCCACACTTTTCAGAGCTGGAGCAAGACTATGTTTAACTAGGCTGGAATATAAATTTCACACACTTGCATGAATAGTGCTCTCAGAATGAGTTCAGAGATTACACTAGGGCAGCGTCATGGCTCCACATGAAGCTTCAGCCATCTATTCCTCTCCATCTGATTCCTGGTGAAATTTTCACATTGCTAATCAATATTGTAAATGATCCCTCCAAGGTGCAGGGCCTCATACTCTAAGTAAATCACTGGATGATTGGTGTCGCTTCAGGCATGAGGCTCACTTGCAATACTCTAAGTAAATCACTGGATGATTGGTGTTGCTTCAGGCGTGAGGCTCACTTGCGTCTTACAGCATGTAATAATACTGTAGAAATAAAGTGACTAAACATACAGGAAGCTAATAATTTTAACTAGTTGAACTAATGTTATGCATTTAAGTAGGCATAAGGATGATGTTTGGCCTTTTTCTCATGTTTCACTGAGACCTGTTCTTAACTTTTCTTGAATATTGTGGTTTTACCCCAGCTGGCAGCTGAGCACCATGCAACAGCTTGCTCACTCCCCCCGCATCGGGATGGAGGAGCGAATTGGAAGAGTTAGAGAAAACTCGTGGGTTGAGATAAAGACAGTTTAATAGGTAAAACAAAAGCCACACGCACAAGCAAAGCAAAGCAAGGAATTCACTCTCCACTTCCCATGGGCAGGCAGGGGTTCAGCCATCCCCAGGAAAGCAGGGCTCCATCATGTGTAACGGTGACTTGGGAAGACAAATGCCATCAGTCCGAATACTGTCACCCCCCCCTCTTCCTCTTCCCCAAGCTCCTTATGAACTGAGCATGACATCATATGGTATGGAATATCCCTTAGGTCAGCTGTCCTGGCTGTGTCCCCTCCCAGCTTCTTATGCACCCCCAGCCATCCTGCTGGGGCCCTGGCTCTGTGTAAGCACTGCTTGACAACAACAGGTCCATATAACAAAAACATCTCTATATCATCAACACTGCTTCCAGCACACATCCAAAACATAGCCCCATACTAGGTACTATGAAGAAAATTAACCCTCTCAGCTGAAACCAGAACAAATATTCAGAACACATTTGTCAAAGGAAGAAAAAAAAAAAAAGCAGTTAACAAAAAATATTTTTATTCAGTTGGCCTGCAATAGAGCATTCAACTTAAAATTTCAGACAGTAGTTCCACATGTGTTTAATATTGCAACTATTTCAAAACAGGATGACATAAGGGCATGCTTTATGTAATATACAAGTACAGTGGAATATGTTACGGTCAGATGAAATGGTCATATTGAGTGTATTTGAATGCTGCCTGTAATTAACATGGCTCAGAGGGGTTTAGCTAAGAGCAAATCCTCCTAGCAGACAATGAAAATTGAAGCACCAGTGGTGCAACCACTAAATAAGTATTGCTGATTTTTAAATTAGTAAAATGGAAACTGGCATCTTTGGGGTTACTTGAGAGCTGTAATTTAGGGATCTGAAAACTCAGATACTTTAACTTTTAACTACACAGTA